GTCTTGTCCAGGATACAAGCACACATTAACTCTGCTTTTGCAACATTAGAGATTGGAGGAACACCTATGTTTGTTTCCACGTGCCAGCTATAAGTTACTCACAGGAGTACCCCTGGCTGCTCTGCCTCCTGTATGGAAATACATATTGCCATTAATTACAGCTTTTTCTTAGATTGTTGATATGATACACTAAAATACTATGACAGGTTTCAGAGTGGTAGCCGTGTTAGTCTGTATCAGCAAAAACAACAAGGAGTCCTTGTGGCACCTTAGAGACTAACAAATTTATTTGGGCATAAGCTTTCGTGGGCTAGAGCCCACTTCATCAGATGCATGAAGTGAAAAATATAGGAGCAGGTATAAATACATGAAAGGATGGTAGTTGTCAGCTATGTCTAGACTCTAGAGGAATCATTTCATTTGTAAATAAGAGAGAAAATTCCTTTAGTAGAGGCAGTTTTAATTTTATTATGATTGCCATTAACCTGGTTAGAGCCAATGGGTCTGATAAACACCCTTCATTTGGGTTAAATGGAGGGAGCAGTTAAGGACTTTGTACATCATGATAGCTGGAAACAATAGAATCCACAGCTCAAGGTTCTCGGCCATAAGGCCAGGCCTGAGCAAGAACTAACCTAGGGAGAATAAGAATTTTCTCTTGGATTGGTTGAAAATGCAAGGGTTAAGGGATTGTTCTTATTTAACATGCTTAATGCAATAGTGCCTGTGAGCCAGCCAAGAGTGGGGCCCCATTGTGGTGAGGCACTGTATAAACAGAGTAGTAGATGTTCCCTGCCTCAAAGAGCTTGGTTGTTGGTGAGTCTGAGAGACACAAAGCCCAGACAGCGGCAGTAGCAGTGGTGAGCATGGCCCTGAGTGGGAGCAGAGACAGAGCCCCGTGGGCATAGAACTGACTGGAGGAAATTGCGAGTAAGCAAACTACCTGCTTTGTTTGTTTTCACTGTGTCCAGAGAAACTAGACTTCCTGTACATTCTTTGTACATAAACAGGACTGCACCAAAACATATAGTGTGACGGGGCCAGGCCAGACGGCTACAGGAGAGTGCTCATATTGGGTGCTGGGAAGTGGGCCCCAGGTTAAGCAGGTACCTTTTCCCCTGGTAATTGAACAGGGGTTACTCCAGGTTAATTAGGACACCTGAGGCCAATCAAGGGCCCGCCAGAACCTTTTAAATGCCTCCCATCCAGTCAGATAGGCACGTGCAATAGAAGCTTTGGGGAACAGGCGTGCTACTGAAGAGCCAGACAGTACAGACACTGACAAACTCCAGGAGGGAGACCTCATAGGTACAGAGGTGAAGAGCAAGGGAAACCCTGCCCAACAGGGCATATAGCCCTTCTGGGCCCCAGAGGTTTGGGGGAAGAGACCCTGCCAGAGGGGAGAGACTGAACTGGGTGTCTGGTCTGCCAGCACTACGCCCAGAGGAGCTACCAGAGACTAAGAGGCTCCCCTCTCCCTCCCCTGTCAGGGAGGCTGGGAGGAACCCCTGCTTCCGCAAGGTGGGGACAGTAAACCCAGGAGCATGGGGAAAATTCCCAGGGAGAGAGGAATCCCCTAGCCCACCGCTAAGAGGAAACGCAGAGCCCACCGGGGCGGAGAAGGAGCTCTGCCACAATAGTTAGGTGTAGCAGGATTTGATTTTAATTGACAGATGGCATGTTGGCAAACATTAATTTCATCTGATGCACTGACAATGACAAAAAAAAATCGATTGGTAAGAAGGAGTGCCACCTCCCCTCTTGTTCCTGCGAGGATCATGTGTCACCGGCCCTGTGGCAACAGAGAGAGCCCTCTGCAGCCTCATTCTGTCACAGTCCAGCTCCCTCTCTCCCCAGACTGCAGAGCTGGTGACACCTGATCCCTGCCGGCGCAAGGTGCGGGGAAGGCTGCGGTCTTGGCACAGGTTGTGCCTGCAGGGACTGGGTGTCACCAGCCCTGCAAGTGTGCAGGGAACCCTCTGCACCCCCTGTAGTTTTAATTCTTCTGTAATAAAGCACAAGCAGGAAGACAGGGTAAATTTTTGAAAATGTGACTCATGTTCCCAAATCACATAAGTGCATTTGAAAATTTTACCCAGACTTAAAATAGTTATATATAGACAGATATTTACCTAACCACTTAAACTAAAGACTTAATCCAGACTTTTAAATGTATTTAAAAAGTCAGTATGATATGTTTAATTTTATTTGTTACAAAGTTTATGTAAATGATGCCACTGAAATACTACATGCAATCAAATGCACAGATAAAAACCTCAATCCAGCAACTGGCTCCATGTGGACCTCTGAAGCCAAAGGGAGTTTATACAGGCTCAGGGATCTGCCTGCACAGAACTCTTTAGCTCAGTGGATTGCTTTTCTTCTGGACAATTGTTTCTATTGTTAGTTTTCCATCTGTTACATATCACTGTGCTAACTTTTCAAAGAGGTGCTGTCAAGGTTGAAAGACTACACTTTTTTTTTTTTCTTGCTTTTGTTTGTAAAGTCCAGGTAATATTTGGTGCCTTTTCCCCCAAAGAAATACTTCAGTTCTTACGTTTTGTCACTAAAATAAATCCATGCTATTAGCCCCTCACTTGTGAGCAGCTGTACAATAATGTACCTGTGCATGAGTGACATAGAATACATCATTTTGGTGAGATTTTAGCCTCAAGGTTTCATAGTATTGTTGCAAATGATTTTTTTAAAATTTTGAACAAAATCTTGAGTGTTCTTTAAAATTGCTTTACTTTTTAAAAAAGTACTCTCTCTTTCTTTTAAAATCCATTCATGCGCTCATCTTAATTTAATCATCACCAAGAAGATGATTTATCACATTCTATTTTCACTCTCAATTAAATTTCCAGCAAGATTGCAGATTATTGTTGCTGAACGAAGATTTGGTTCAGAAATGGTTTTCACAAAACAACCTCGTGCATTTGGACTAATATTTTGCTGTTACATAGTAAAACTTTGGTAAATCTGATTGCATTATTTTTATTAAAGATGAAACAGATAAGAGCTGTAGACCTTACACATTGTGTAAGTGGAACAGCTAATAACTTCCTTGGATTCTGCAACATTACTCTCTAGTCCCTAGGAAGTGCAAAGAAAACTGCATCCTCCACCAATCTGCTTCTCATGGATGAGAGTCTAGCATCACAACTCTATTGAAGAGAGTGTACTCTTCTGGGCTACATTCAAATAACCTACAGGTTCTAAATCTTTGGACTGCTCCTTGTGTATTTTGTTATTTAAAAGCCACATTCACATCACATCTGAGTATGGGATGGGTTGAGTGTCAGAGGAGCACTGTCATATTTTATTAATATAGCATTTGACAGCTGTTAACCAGTGAAATGCGAGACTGGTTTGACTAAAAGAATACACTCGATCCTGCTGAGATGAAACCCATTAACCTGTAAGCCATGTATATTGAATTAGCAGACTGGCAAAATTAGTGTGTGCTGTGCTACTGGAAATCATGTAGAGTGGAACCCTCTTATAATGACTTGTGTCGATTATTTTGCTCAGTTGTATGGAGTTTCATTATAACACTAGAGTGTTTACCTGACAAAAAGATTCAGTATGTTCATGTCACTTCTTTCACCTTCAGACAGGTAGACTGGTCCTTTCTTTACCCACTGCAGTAGAAGGGACACTGGTTAGTGTTTTGTGTGTGGCACACATTTGTGGAAGACCACATCTTCACTTATAGTGGCAAACAGATGTACAAATTTGGGAACCAGGGATTCACGCTTACTACTGCTTCCTCCCCCAGCTTCCTCCCCCATGGGAGGATAGTGGCTACTTCCTTCCCCTCTTCCTCAACTTGGGCAGAGTAGTGGAGGAAGGGGACATGATAATCCGCTTGGAATGTAGCATCGAACACCTGTTGATACTGGCTGCATTCCAAGGAGGATTTTCAGAGTAGAACTCAATTATAATGGAGGGAATATTCACTACAAGAGGAGTAAAAGTCCACTGAATTGCTTTCAAGCAATTTGATACTGGCTGCATTCCAAGGAGGATTTTCAGAGTAAAAGTCAATTATAGTGGAGGGAATATTCACCACAAGAGTCGTAAAAGTCCACTGAATTGCACTCAAGCAATTTGGGGCTTCCACTGCCACTGCATTCTACACTGAGAAATTACACTGTGTTAGAACAGGAGATTGAGGTGTTGTAGGAAATAATGAGATGAAAACAACTCAGCGTAGAGGGTGACTCTCATAGTTAACCCTAGGGTTCACCACAGCTTGCTAATGTGATGTTATCTTCATTATGTCTCTGTGTATATCTTTTATATCATGTTACTTATGATTCCTAGAGGTTGTGCTCTAATATAATGTAATTTTCTAATGTAAACAAGACCAGTAAGGAGGGTTTCAGAGTAAGAGAGTTCACTGAGAGAGTAAATGGGTTCTTCCTCATTCTATCAGAAAAGATTTTCATGTTAGTTTTCTTTAACTGTTATGTCCTTTTTCTTTATAAAAATGGAGTCGTCATGTCACACCTTTGCTTTGCCTACTCTCAGAGACTGAAACGTGGAGAATTACTTTATTGAACTTGTATCAGAGGGGTAACCGTGTTAGTCTGGATCTGTAAAAAGTGACATAGAGTCCTGTGGCACCTTATAGACTAACAGACGTATTGGAGCATAAGCTTTTGTGGGTGAATACCACTTCAGTCATCTGACGAAGTGGGTATTCACCCACGAAAGCTTATGTTCTAATATGTCTGTTAGTCTATAAGGTGCCACAGGACTCTGTGTCACTTTTTATTGAACTTGGTTCTCTCATATGGGATAAAATATTGCTCCAGTATTGTGACTCTTAACCCCTTTATAAACAAATCTTTGATAATATGTCTAAGGTGTAACTACTTGTTTGTTGGGAATGTTTCAATGTAACATAACTGGAAAATTGTGCTGAATTTCATTTTTGTTTTGTTTTATTTTTGATTTGATGGATTACTTTTTGTGATGTTTGTCTTTTCTAGGAAATCCATGAACTATTCAAAGATTATGAATTAAAGTACTGTTATGTGGACAGAAATAAAAGAACAGGTAAGAATTTAGAATATTCCAGTACTTAAGATTGCATGTTTCCTGGTAACACATTTGCATTCTTTGATAGAACTAGTAGTCAGCTTCTTTTGCCACATATGAAATCATCAGATTGTGTCTGCCCACTACTTTAACTATTCCTAGACTTGTTCTTTGGCTGCATAAATTGTGGCCGTTTCCAACTCATATTGGAAAGCCTCATATTGACTTCAGTGGAAGGTAGATTGGGCCCATTATCTGTGAATCTATATTTATGACTCCTTAAGTAATGCACCTTTTGGATGGGTCTAGCTAAACTGCTTAATCCACTTGTGAAAGACTGATCCATTGGTCTCTGCTAGGACAAGCCCTGCACACCAGGATAACTCTGTAACAGAGGAGCTATTCCAGGTCTAGGTTTAGGGATTCCAGGTAATATAAGACAGAGAGCAGATATACTCTATTTACTTAATCAGTTCTGAAGTCTGTGGAGGTTTTTGCCTTGTTTTGGAACTGAAGAGACTTATCAGGCTTTTAAGGGTGATCTTCATCTTGAAAACTGAGTCAGTTTTGGCCTTGCTATATGTCTCCCAGGCATCTTTGCCAAGGTAATGGTGTTTCTGGCTGCTGCCCTTAGCAAGTATGGTGTGTTTGTGCAGCAGTCTCCTAATGATTTGCTTGTTTGCACAACCTGAAAATTGCCAAGTTTGGGAACAAGTGCTGCAGGCTGCTATGTATCAGTATCCTGTCTATTTCAGTGTTTTATTTTCTAGGTATTGTTTTGAAATCCTACTGGTTGAAGCTGCCATAGGAGGAGGGCATTAATCTTAACGTTTACTCTGGTTCCTCCAAATCTTATGTCAGCCCAGAATTACCAATCAGAAGAAATATTTTTCCTCTGGACTTCTGCAGTTGGATATTCTAGTTCAGAGGTTCTCACAATAAAATTTTTGGTGGCCTCAGAGTGCAACCACCAACTCTTGCTGGTGGCCGCTATGACAATTTTTCTTAAAATACTTAAATAACTTTAGGAACAACAAATAAATATGCACATATACATGTTCAAATCATTATAATTTATTTATGTAGGGTTTTTTTTTTTTTCAGACTCAATAATAAAAATAATGTACAGTTCTCTATTCTTTACTGGATCTACACAGAATAGAAACACAAATAAGGTGCTTTGCACATTCTTGTCTTTTGTTGTTGTTGTTTCTTTTGTTTTTGGTTGCCTTTTTTTTAAAGACTTGCTAGCTAGTAAGTCTGCTGCTGCAAAAAGTAATATTTGTATGGTTGTTAATATCATGTTTCATAGCAGACTTCCTAGCTAGCTGGGAGGCTGTGAAAAGTGATATTAACAACCATACAAATATCAATTTTCACAGCAGACTTACTCAGCTCTGGCAAGCTAGGGGACAAATTAAGCCCTGGATGGGGAGGTGGGTAGGGAGACAGTGGGGGCCAGGGGCAATTGGGCGGGGGCGGTGAGCCCAGGGGCCAGGCTGGAGGCTGCGGGGGCCAGGGACAATGGTGGGGTTGAGCCCAGAGCTGGCATGTGGCTGGGATCCAGGGCCAGAGCCCGAAGTCCCATGACTGGAGCCTGCCACCCGCCGCCCCAGGCTGAAGCCCGAGCCTCACTACCCCTGGGAAGGTGGGAAACTCATTGGCTGCATGCTCATCTGGCGTTTGTGGCTCCAGATGTGGGGAGGGCACAACCCCTTCTGGTGGCCCTGGGGGGAGAGGTACTGCTTTGCGCCTCCGCCCCAGTCACTGCCCAGGAGGCTGTGGCCGCAAGAAAAGCCCCTGGTGGCCGCATTTGAGAAACGCTGTTCTAATTAGTTTTAGTTGCTGAATTTTTCTTTGACTGAAATTCTTTCTAAAGTTTAAGTGGAGGAGTGGCAGTCAGTTCCTTATTGGGGGCTGGCCTCACAACTCTTGTTCCTTCATCCCTCTACTGGAAGGGAAAGACGTACCCACTTGTGTGGGCAGGGATATGAGCACTCATATCGTTTCTTACCATTTAATTGGTTTTTTTTTCTTGCACAAAGGCGAGAGACCAACTCATGTTTTCAGAGTGGGCACATGCACAATATGTATATTCATCTTTGACACTTTTGTAGTGAGGAAGTTGAGACTGGATGGGGTCTGGGTGACATTGATTTTTCCTCTTTTCATTGAGGGGAGATCCTGGCCATAGCTCAGTGACTTGAGCATTGGCCTGCTATACCCAGGGTTGTGCGTTCAATCCTTGAGGGGGCCACTTACAGATCTGGGGCAAAATCAGTACTTGGTCCTGCTAGTGAAGGCAGGGTGCTGGACTTGACCGTCCTTTCCATATATAAATAGGACTTGAAAAAATAATGTGCTACAACTGGTATAAATACTTCTGTTTGTGGGGGAGGGATAGCTCAGTGGCGTGAGCATTGGCCTGCTAACCCCAGAGTTGTGAGTTCAATCCTTGAGGGGGCCATTTAGGGAACTGGGGTAAAAATCTGTCTGGGGATTGGTCCTGCTTTGAGCCAGGGGGTTGGACTAGATGACATCCTGAGGTCCCTTCCAACCCTGATATTCTATTACATCTTCTCTTATAATCTCACCACAGATCCTCAAAGATAAAGCATTTCACTCCACATCTACCTAGATAATATCCGACAGACAAGGTGGGTGAGGTAATATATTTTATTGGACCAACTTCTGTTGGTGAAAGAGACAAGCTTTCAAGCTATACAGAGCTCTTCTTTAATAGTTCTCTCTTGTGGCTTGTAATATGGCATTTTTGAAAAGATAGCTCTTATCTTACTGTTTAGAAGATGACCACTGCAATGAGATATAAGTGAGCTTAATGTATGTAAGAATCAATCTGATTAGTTTCCCCCTACAAAAACTACTCCAGCATTTCAGAAAAGGCTATTTTTAAAGGCAGGTACATCCATTAAAACTGACATTTGCTCATATGAATAGTATTTGCATATGTCAACACTCTTATGTGCACGCACTATCATGTGGGCCCCTGTGCATCTTATCACATACCTCTTAGAAAATTTTGGCCCTTGAAGGTCATTATCTAATTTTTTTTGTTCTTTTGAGGGATAAATCACTTTATTTTGTGCTTCAAGAAGCACTTGTAACTTCCATTTAAAAAGCTCCTAGTGTCTCAGAATCCTAATATACACCTTACAAAATTTTTGAAGCTCTTTCTGGGTTACTTGACTCTTTCAGGCTCAGGTTTTGTATATTGCAGATTATTTTGCTCATGTCAGTAACTTTGGCTTGCAGAATCAGCTAGTAGTTTTTAACATCTGTAGGGTTTTACCTTTACTCACCTTTAATTGTGCAACTGTCTAAATGGTTATTGACACACTGAAGTAAACACAATAGAACCTTCTTCCTCTACACCATTATTATCCCCCCCCACACACACACACACACCAACCCCATTATTGAAAATTGAGTTAAATGCCAACATGTGCATTATTTGTATGGAAAAAATCCCATTTGTTTAGAATCCTTTTTGTCCAGATAAATTAAATATTCTCAGTTTAATTCAGATAAATGGAGTTCTGTGGAGCTATACAACGGTTTAAATAATAAAATCTGCCCTGTAAGATCCTTCCTCCTCTGAGTGAAAACTATAATTACAATTTATCTTCAATTTTCCCCCTTGTTTTTTCTTTATATTACTTTACATTAAATTACTTTCTGTGCAGTTTTGAATTTGTTTGTTCACTCAAATCACAGAAGAATTATCAATTGAACAGAAAACAATTGAACAATATTTTGTGCTCTCAAACTATTGTTGATTTCCACAGAATCTAACTCCATTTGTCTGTGCTTTCTTTGCTATTATTCCTAAAATACCAAATATCATCCTTCTGGAAATAAGCCATAAATATTGGGCTGTGCAATAGTCTAGTTTAGCCATGTTGTCTGTTTCAGAATCTAACTGACCTCTTCTTTATTTGTTGTTTTCATCTGTATATCACCATATCTTTTGAATTGTTACAGTTTGTAAAATCAGCTATGATGTGTATGTGTGTGTGTGTGTGTATGTATATATATTCACAAACACACTGGGTGATTGTGTACAGGATACCTGGCAACTTATACCTTCCACAGGAGAGCAGAACTGAGACCTTAGATGTTATAATGTTTGTTGGTAAGATTTGTGCTCTGTTCCGTTGGCTTTATAAACTGATATAAGACATTCACAGCTACAGCATGATTCAAACTTTACTTTAAAATATACTATGTGGATGTTTATATTTTATTTATAAATCCTACTTTAGACAGTTTTAACCTCTGATTATTCAAGAATGAAAGAAAATGTTAGCATGTCTGCTTCTGAATAGTGTCATCTTACTATTCAGTTTCTCTCTGCCTGTGCACTGGTGTTAGAAACAGATGATGAATAGGTTATCTGGAAAAGATGTTTTCTGTTTTAAACAGTAATCTTGCAACCAGAGCTTCCTGGAGTTGAATTTCAGAAAAGGTTTATATAAAAATGAAAAAAAAAAAAAAAAAAAAAAAAATATGGTACACCTGGCAACAAATTTGCCCAAAGCTGCAGTATGATAATTCATTAGAAGAGAGAGTGTTGCCAAGACTGCTGTGAAAAAAATGTTCTCTAAGTAACAGCAATGGAACATATGCTTTATAGCAGTGAATTCCATGCTATTTAAACTTCAGAATAGCAAATAATACGGCTTTTTTTTTTTTTTTTGGTCCTTAAAACTTTTCTTACAAATGAGATAAATAAAGACTGGGGAAGAAGAATCCTCATTCCTTGTTGTTGGGCAGCTGAGACCTCAAATGTTGTTGTATGATAAGAAAACATGGTTGTCCCAGTTTTCAGGCTGTGGTCTCATACAAATAAATAAAAACAGATATTGTTTCTGCTGTGATTGCCTAAAGACATTTATCTATTTTTGCCTTTGGACCACTGTGGCAGAGATTCTCCTTTTTATTCTCTTGTTTTTAGTGTCAATCTCACTAGTCTTATGTTTACTCTTAGCCGTCCCTTTAACACAAATTAATATACCACTAGCTGTTTTTCAGAGATTGTCACACTTCATTTTAAATTCAAACAAAAATTTGCATACTGAGATATTATCCAAAATGCCCATTAAATCTGAAATCTAGATCTGATCATGCCTTTGAGTGCTCAGTCTGACTGTGTCCATGAATATATTCTGTTCTCCATTAAACAATAGCTTTGTGGGCCTGGAAAGCATCTACACTTGAGCAATTCAGCTGTATCTGCAGCAGGTCTTTGATGTGCCTTGCTGTGTGGGTTTGTTTTGATTAAGTTCATTATGGAAAACTCACATTCTGCAGTGCTACAGGACATAAAAACGGTATTCACAGCAAGAACAATATATGCCAAAAGATTGGTGGCTAAAAGTTTGGATAAACAGGCATGTGTAGTGTCATATGTTGTGCATTGAAGCGTAATTTTAGAGACAACACTGATATATGGCACTTTCCTTTTCCTCCTAACTCAAAAAGTGGCCTAGAACAGTGGCTCTCAACTTTTCCAGACTACTGTACTCCCTTTCAGGAGTTTGATTTGTGTTGCGTTACCCCCAAGTTACACCTCACTTAAAAACTACTTGCTTACAAAATCAGACATAAAAATACAAAAGTGTCACGGCACACTATTACTGAAAAATTGCTTACTTTCACATTTTTGTCATAGATCAATTGGAATATAAATATTGTACTTACATTTCAGTGTATAGTATATAGAGCAGTATAAACAAGTCATTGTCTGTATGAAATTTTACTTTTTACTGACTTTGCTAGTGCTTTTTATGTAGCCTGTTGTAAAACTAGGCAAATATCTAGCTGAGTTGATGTACCCCTGGAAGACATCTATGTGCCCCTGGTTGAGAACCACTGGCCTAGAAAAATGGTGATTTATACATTGTCATAATGGACCAAGTCATTTTAATAACTATGCCACTTTGAATTCAAGCGTCAGTATTAATAACGGTGGTTACTGTAGTTTGGTGAATTTAGCATCCGTATTTTAAATGGCAATTTAACGTGCAGATCTGAATTGTCTGCACCTTTGCCTCTGCCTCTAAAGACTCAGAAATGTGCACCTTCAAGTCTGTCATCCCCATCAGACCTGAAGAAGAGCATTGTGTAAGCTTGAGAGCTTGTTTCTTCCACCAACTTTCTTTGTTCTCTTACAGCGTTTGTTACTCTGCAGAACGGAGAGCAGGCTCAAAACGCAATCCGGATGTTTCACCAGTATTCTCTTCGTGGAAAAGAAATATCAGTGCAGCTCCAACCAACAGATGCTTTGCTATGCGTTACCAATTTGCCCACCTCATTTTCATCACAAGAGTTTGAGGAACTAGTGTGTGCATATGGCAATGTTGAGAGATGTTTTTTGGTCTATAATGAAGTTACTGGCCATTCCAAGGGCTACGGGTTTGTGGAATACATGAAAAAGGACTCTGCTGCAAAGGCTAGAATGGAACTCCTGGGGAAGCAATTAGGTGAAAACACCCTCTTTGCACAGTGGATGGATGTTAATCAGTTGACTACCGATCTTGTTCATTCTAAGTGCCTTTGTGTAGATAAACTCCCCAATGACTACACTGATTCAGAGGAACTGATGCAAATGTTCTCATTTAAGTATAAACCTGTGTTCTGCCAGGTAGGTCTCCTATGAATTGGTGTCTTTTGGAAACTGAATATGGAGATGTATATAGCTTTGTGTTTACGTATTTTATTGCATGCCTACTCATTGCTTTGTTTTTTATGTAACTAGACTAGTGAGTGGCTTAATTTGGGAAACCTAGTGGGTGATTATGTGTATACCGTGATGGGCTAAACCCCCTGGGGTGTCACCTGGTATGCTGGGACGCCACTGAGTCAGACTATTCTGCCAGCCTGGGTCCCCTTTACCTGGCCTTGCTGGGTTAGGCTCCCCAGCCTTTTCCAGCCAAGCACACAGGCAGGGCCACACCCAGCTGCACATAGAGACATAGATCCACTCTGGGAAGACTCAGCTTAAGGGGCTTGCCACAGCACCCAGATGTCCACCTCCCCCCTTGGAGTACAAACCCCAAATTATATGAAATTCGCCTCTTCCCTCTATGTGAAGGAGGGTGTACACAACTTATCGCCCCCCCCCCCCCGTTAGAAATCACATAAACTGGGTTATATTGTAAACCAGAAATAAATGTATTAACTATAACAGGTGTATTTTAAGTAGTTAAGGAGGTAGCAGACAGAACAAGGCAGATTACTAAGAAAACAAAATAGAGCACTCAAACTAAGCTTAATACACTAAAGAAACTGGTTACATGCAAGTTCTCACCCTAAATGTGGTTCTAATAATCTTCTTCACAGGCCAGATGCCCTTCCAGCCACGGCCCAGTTCTTTCCCCGAGTTCAGTCTTAATTGTTTCCAGTAATTATCTAGGGTGAGGTAGCAGGGGAGAACTGACCTCCTGGATTATCTCACTTCCTACCCTTAAATAGGATTTGCATAAGCCGTGAGTCCTTTGTTTCCTAGTTTGATGTTTCCCCCCCCCAGCCCCAGCTTCTCGTGGAAAAGTACAGAATTCAAGATGGGTTCCAGTATCAGGTGACATGGTCAGATGCCTCTGTAGGGCCCCTGTAGCCATTCTTCACAGGCTGACCCACAGGTTCACAGGAAGACTAAGTTCTTTTACAGTCCATTGTCTCTTGCTGATGGGCCATCAGCTTTTTCATTGATGTATCTTAAGAGTTAGCAGGGGGCGTCACCCAAAGTAACATAGTTGAAATATAGATACATAGTCAATATTCCTAATTTCAGATGCAGAAATGATACATGCATACAAATAGGATAATCATATTCAGTAAATCATAACCTTTCTAATGATCTCACATGAGCCATCTTGCATAAAGTATATCTCAGTTGTGTCATATTCATATCATAAGCATATTTTCATAAAGAATGTGGAATGACACGTCACATATACATCATAATATATGATGTGGTATAAATGTTTTATTGTCATGAGTTTGGAATGACCAGCATAAGTCACTGGGGAGTTATGCAGGAGGTCATCCCAGCTGAGTGCCAATAAAAAAATTTCTGATGTGCCAGCACAAGAAATAAGTGCTATATCTATTGGAAAAGTGAGTCTTACAGCTCTCCATTTGTATAAAGGCTTTCTTCCTAGCACTGATGGTTGCCAAGATATTGGACCCTAAGCTGGTCACTGGTCCATGACCTAACATTGTTTATTAAGCACCTCAGACCAGTGTAACTAGGAAGGGAAACAGAATGAAACCTTTTATTGAAGTCATGGGTGGTTGTGGGTGTTTGTTTATTTTTAAGTATCTCTTGGAAAGCTGCTCAAAGATTTGGATTTTTAGTATTCTTGGTGGTGATGGATTCTTAGTGGGTAGAGTGATTCCTAGAGTATAAAGATAGAAGGGACCATTAAAGCATCTAGTCTCACCTCCTATATATCAAAGGCCATTACATTTCACCCAGTTCCTCTGTTTTGAGCCCAATAACTTGTGTTTGGCTAAAGGCATCCAGTCTTGATTTGAAGACATCAAGAGATGGAGAATCCATCGCTTTCCTTGGTAGTTTGCTCCAGTGGTTCATCACTATCACTGTTAAAAAATTGTATCTAACTTCTAATATGAATTTGTTTGGTTTCAGCTTCCAGCCATTGGTTCTTGTTTTGCTTTTCTCAGTAGATTAAAGACCCTTTAGTGCCTGCTGGTTTTCTCCATGTGAAGGTTCTGGTACGCTGTAATCAATTCACTTCTCACTCTTCTTTTTGATAAGCTAAAGAGAGAGAGTTATTAAGTCTCCCGCTCTAGGATAATTTTTGTGGCTCTTTTTTGCACCCTGTCCAATTTTTCAATATCGGTTTTAAAATGTGGACAGAGCTATACGCAGTGTTCAGGGCTGCCCGGGGCAAGTGGGGCAATTTGCCCCAGGCCCCGCAGGGGCCCCCACGAGAGTTCTTCCGCTCTGGGTCTTCGGCGGCGGGGGGTCCTTCCGCCCCGGGACCCGCCACCGAAGTGCCCTGAAGACCCGCGGTGGGGGGTCTTTCCGCCCCGGGACCCGCCGCCGAAGTGCCGGGTCTTCGGCAGCAATTCGGCGGCGGGGGACCCCTGCCACCAAAGACCCCAGGCCCCCTGAATCCTCTGGCAGTGTTTCAGTACCGGTCTCACCAATGCTGTATACAGAGGAAAAATCACCACCCTACTCGTACTCACTAATCCCCTGTTTAGACCTTCAAAGATCACATTAGCTCTCTTTGCCATGTCATCACAATGGGAGCTCATGTTCAATTACTTGTCCACTATTACCCCTGAATCCTTTTCGGAGTCACTGCTTTCCAGGATATGGTGCTTGGTTCTGTAGATATGGCCTGCATTCCTTGTTCCTAGTTCTGTAATTTTGCATTTGGCTGTATTTTGTTTGAATGACTTCTGGTTGCTGAGCAATCTAGATAGCTCTGCCTGACTGCCTTATCATCATCTTCATTTACCATTCCACCAGTCTTTGTGTCATCTGCAAATTTTCTCACCAGTGATTATATATTTACTTCCTGATCATTGTTGGAAGTGTTCAACAACATTGAACCTAGGACCAATCCCTGCAGAATGCCAATAGAAACACCACCATTCAGTGATGATTCCTCATGGACACCTACTTTTTGAGATCTGTTAGTTAGCCAGTTCTTAATCCATTTAATTTGTGCTCTGATGATATTGTATCTTGCTAATTTTTTAATCAGAATGTCATGCAGTACTAAGTCAAATGTCTTACAAAAGTGAAGTAAGTTACATCTGCGCAGTTGCCTTTATCAATCAAACTTGTAATCTCATGAAAGAATGAAATCAGGTTTGTTTGACAAGACTTATTTTCCATAAAACCATGTTGACTATGCAGTTTGAGGTAGTTAAAAAGTGCATTTTTCTTGCACCTTTAATCACACATCAAAGTTTTGTGCTCTAACTGCCCTGTGGGGACACTGCTGGCATGAACTAAAAGGTCATAGCTTGAATTAACGTAGTCCTCTTTCAAACAGGACTATGTTAATGCAACCACATACCTTTTAGTTTGCTTCAGCCTCATCTATACAGGGCGGATAGAGGCATTGCTTTGGCGCCCTCTACAGTTTACACTCCCATAGACCATAGACAAGCCCGGAGATGATAGCCAGGGCAGGGGTTGGCCATCAAGGGCCTTGAAGTGAAGAGAGGTAGCTTACGTTTGATACAATAGGGAAGGAGGACCCCAAAGGAAGAATGCAGAGAGGAGGACACAGTCAAAGTGACGGGCTAGGAAAATGAGCTTTGCAGCAGCATTTGGAATGGATATTAGAGGGGCAAGATTGCATTTGTCAAGGTCAGAGAGAAGGATGTTGCAGTAACTGAGATGCGACGATGAGAGCCTGGGTAAGAGTTTTAGTGGTGTGAATGGACAGGCCAGGCCATGTCTTAGAGATTTGATGCGGAAAGAAATGGCAAGTTTTAGACAGCCTGGATGTGAGGTCCTAGAGAAAGGTCCATGTGGCAGATTACAGGTGTGAGTGACAGGCAAGATGGCAGTGTTGTCCACAGTGATTAAGAAAGGAGGTAGTGGGGATTGGGGGAGAAGATTAAAAGCTCTGTTTTAGCCATGTTGAGCTTGAGCTGATGACTAGACATCCACAAGGAGATGTTAGAAGAGAGGGTGAGATTTTAGTTTGAACAGAAGGAGAGAGGTCTTGGATTAAAGAGGTAGAGCTGTGAGTAGTCAGCGTAGAAATGGTAATTGAATTTGTGTTTGCAGATGAGATTACCCATATATAAGGTGTGTATAGAGAAGGAAACTAAGGATGGAGCCCTATGAAACCCCCACAGAAAGTTAGAGGGGGGATGAGGAAGATCATCCAAAGGACATGCTGAAGGAGCAATTAAAGAGGTGCTCAGAGAACCCAGAGAGGACGAAATCAGCAAAGCCAAAGGAGGAGAAAATTTCAAGAGGAGCATGGTTGACAGTGTAAAAGGAGAATAAGGATGGAGTACTAGTTCTGAATTTTGGCTAAGAAGAGGTGTATCTGAGAAAGAATCCTGATTTCTTTTACTATGGCTTCTTTTACATAGTCGTGTATTACCCCTCTTCAGGGATATATTAGTTCTGCTTCTAACTGACATATTTCATCATGTAAATCTAATGTGTCTTGAAGACAGTGGAGAATTCTGCTTGGGAACTCTTTTCTTTTTCTGTATTTCTTTCCTTTTATCCTTATCTTTACTCTTCTTTAAGGCATTCTTTCTCCATTGCCTCCTTATGTGTTGGAAATACAGATTGTTCTTTCAGTAAAAGCTGACTCCAGATGTTTATATACAGTTCCTAAAAATACCTATGTTCCCTGTGTGTTCACCTACAAAAATGTTATTATCTAACCATTTTTTTGCTTGCATTAGAGAGAACAAGGCAACTGCCCTATCTTTTTCTGCTTCACCTTTCAGTTTTCCCTAGAAAGTATTCACTGGTGTTTAGTTTTGAGGGATTTTTCCTAGCATTTTCTTATTTGGAAAGTTTAATTTCCTTATATATTTACACAAATACTGGCAGCTGCATCTTTGCAGGTTGAAGCAGTTTTCTTTGCCCAGGTTTGAAGCCAAAGTAAGCTGCATTGGTGTAAGCCATTTTTTACTAAAGTACAGCATATCTATACTAATGATTTGTACCGGTGCAGCTACCTTGGTGTAAAATCAAACCCATCGTAGATGAGTCCTTGAATTTTCCCAGACCTCTTTTCTTATAAGAGTTTTTGGAAAGTTAATTCTAAGATGCTATATAGAAGCTGTTAGTGCTAACCTATCTTCCTCTACTTCAGAATCATTAAGAGGCTGTAAACAAATTCCTGTTATAGGCCTTATTACTTCAAGACTAAACAGCTGAGAATTGGATGTTGTTTTTCTAATCAGATTTAAAGGGGGCTGTCCCTTTTCCACATCAGGACTCTCATCTATATATATTGATATAACTTTATATCAATCTCATTGTTGTAATAAGTGTAGTTGTAGCCATGTCAGTCCCAGGATATTAGAGAGAAAAGGTGGGTGAGGTAATACCTTTTATTGGACCAACTTCTGGACTCTGGATTTATCTTATTACAACAATTTGTAACCCACCTCTTTTTGTCCTGTGACTGCAGAAGTGTTAATGGGCCACTGTACCTTGAATGGTCCTTTACAATATGTACATAAGAACATAAGAACGGCCGTACCGGGTCAGACCAAAGGTCCATCTAGCCCAGTATCTTGTCTACCGACAGTGGCCAATGCCAGGTGCCCCAGAGGGAGTGAATCTAACAGGCAATGATCAAGTGATCTCTCTCCTGCCATCCATCTCCACCCTCTGACAAACAGATGCTAGGGACACCATTCCTTACCCATCCTGGCTAATAGCCATTAATGGACTTAACCACCATGAATTTATCCAGTTCTCTTTTAAACGCTGTTATAGTCCTAGCCTTCACAACCTCCTCAGGTAAGGAGTTCCACAAGTTGACTGTGCGCTGCGTGAAGAAGAACTTCTTTTTATTTGTTTTAAACCTGCTGCCTATTAATTTCATTTGGTGACCCCTAGTTCTTGTATTATGGGACTAAGTAAATAACTTTTCCTTATCCACTTTCTCCACAACTACTTATGCTAAACTAGTGATAACTACTTATGCTAAACAGTCTGTTCCTCCTTGCATTTTGCTGTGATACTGGAAGTACCTTTCCCAGACCTGTGGAAGAGCTCTGTTTGGCTCGAAAACTTGTCTCTCTCACCAACAGAAGTTGGTCCAATAAAAGATATCCTCACCCACCTTGTGTCTCTTAGATCAATTCCAGTCATTTTGGGAATGGACACTTCTGCCTAAGGATATGGTGCAATTTCAACTTTTCTCTTTTTTTAAAAAACATCCATTAACTCTGATGTAAAACACTATGAACTAAGGATGAAACCGTGTCAAACAAGTAATCCCTGCCTTTTTCCAATCCACTTAGATATACTAAGCAGATAGCAGATTGATGTATCTGGTACATTTTCTTGAGCACTATTCAACCACAACTTCCATTCTCTCAAAAAAATGCATGAGATCTCAGTAATCTGCATTGTTATGTGTTCTTTCATTAGCTTTCATACTTCTGTTTTTCATGTGGCCTTGCAAACCAACTAATCCGTAGTTCTTAAAAGTCTGTTTAAACCAAATATCAAAGAAATTATAATTTTCTTACCATGGAAAATAAAAGTGAATGTAAAAATAGTGATGTGCTAAAACTTTACATTCAAAATTTCATTCTGTATCTTTATACTCTATAAAATAACAGTCAAATATCTTTCATAGCTGAGGTTCTTCATGAGATTAGCTGTAAAGGCAATGGATAGTCAAGTAGGCACAACATGGTAGTCATCTGCAAAATATTATTTACATATTATATTTAACATGCATGAGACAGGAATGTGTACCTCCTAGGTATGCTATTAAAAGGTAGTTTTGTCTTCGGAATGTTAAAGATTTTGCACAGGTAATTCATGCTCAATGCAGGGAGAGAGGAAAATGCTTTAAAATAATTGCTGAATGTTTGTAATGTGTTCAGTGTACTGTGAAATGCCATTTCAGTTTGCTGAGGACGAAGGCTGTTATGTTGGTGGCTTTGCAGTGATTGAGTATGAGACTGCAGAGCAGGCTGAGGAAGTGCAAGAAGTCACAGATGGTATGACTATCAGAGGAAAGAGAGTCCAGGTGTCGTACTGTGCTCCTGGAGCACCAGGACGAAGCACATTAGCTGCATTTATAGCAGCACAACGTATGGTAAGAGACCTTCCATTTTCAAAGAGAAAACACTTTAAATGTTTATATGATATGTTGTACATATATAAGAATTTATAAAATCCATTGGAAGAGAATCCCATAAGTGCTTTTATAATCAGCTTAGTATTTTAATAAGATTATTACTCAGCCAAGTGAAAATTCTTTTTTGAACAGAAGAAAGCTATTTGGCTCAGTGAAATGTTAATACTTAAATTGTAGTTCTGTTCTGACAAGTGACTCTGTAAAATGACGTTGTGGAGTTCCATGTTTATTTCCTCACAGTGACTACACATCAAAATTGCTCTGCTTACAAATGAAAAGATGGTTTCTCTAACCAAGAGCTTAGGTTATAACTCAGTCTGTTCAAAGTGTTACTCTGCATCTACACAAGAAAAGTGGTTGAGTTTAGGTTGAAGTTGGCTAGCTCATGCTAGCTAGCTGGCAAACTCAACCTTCTTCCTAGTTAAGACAAGGACATGAACAGCAGGGATCAGGGGTAAGAGATTGTTTCAGTTCAAAACTAAACTAAGAGAGAGTGCTTTTTAACAGCTATAGGTTGGTTTAAAATGAGACAAGTAAATGTAATTTAAAAATAAATGTCAGGGTAGTGGGAATGACTTCGTTTCATGCTTGGTGTAGAATGAAGCTTTTATGCCCTGCATGTCATATCAAATTATTTCTTAGAAAATTGGATGTGAAGGTAAGTGGTACATGAAGCTGTCTTGAAGGTTGTAGCAGAATATTCTCATTACTTTGGATAGCTCTGAGTAAACTCAGCTGCTTTTCTATAGAGTTATTCACCTCAACTCTGTAGAAGAGCAGCTGAGTTTAGTGTTATTAAAGATGGCATATTTTATTGGTCTTAACGGTGGACTACATCTCCTTTCCATTTCCAGAGTTGTGGGGAAAATGTGTCTTTTCCAGGAAAAAAAACTGCCCCGTGGGTGTTATGAGTGTGTGTGTGTGTGTGTGTTTTGTGTTGTGAGGGGATAGGGTGACAAGTTGGGGGCAGGAGTTGCTGTGGGGCACATTTTTTGAGCTTCTATTTCATACTGAAATATTTACATGAAGCGAACGTGTATTTGAAACCTTTTTGATCCTACAAACATTACATTATAATTTCAGTCTGTGAATGAATGGTTTAAAACAGCAGTTCTCAAACTGTGGGTCAGGACCCCAAAGTGGGTCGCGACCCCATTTTAATGGGGTCGCCAGGACTGACTCAGATTTGTTGACTCAGGGCTTCAGTCCTGGGTGCCAGGGCTCAGGTTACAGGCCCCCTTCCTGGGGCTGAAGCCCTTGAGCTTTGGTTTTCCCCCTCTCTCCCACTGCCTGGGACAGTGGGGCTCAGGCTTTGGCCCTGCCACCTGGGGCAGCTGGGGTCAGGCTTCGGTTCCCCCTCTTGGGGTCATGTAATAATTTTTGTTGTCAGAAGGGAGTCGCGGTGCAATGAAGTTTAAGAACCCCTGGTTTAAAAGGTTGAGAGAGAAGTAATGAGAATATTGAGGTGCTGTTATGCCTGTTAGTTTTATACTTTTCTTATTGTTTCCTATCTAGAAACCTAAAGGGGAAGGAGAGAAATGCAGCAACCATGATAATTTCAGTGTAAAGGAAATGCTGGAATATGTTACTAATGAGCTTTACAGTGAAAGGGTTAATTACATATATTTGGTGAAAGGAAATTGCAGGAACACTGATCTTTGAACTCTGGTGTGTGACACATAGAGATCAAGGAAATAATATCCAGCTATGGATCTAAACCTATTTGTTTTATAAATAAAGGGTTTGCGCCAGCAAATTTGTTTGAGGTAGTCATGGCAACAGAATATGCTTTTGTTTAATCCTGAGTGTAATGTTTCTGTATTTCTATTAATTCCAGATGAGAAACAACAGAAAAGGATTGCTTCCAGAACCAAATCCAGTGCAGATTATGAAGAGTTTAAATAACCCAGCCATGTTACAAATGTTACTGCAGCCCCAGTTGTGTAGACGTGCGCGTAAACATGGTAAGCCTTTTTAAACATAGATGAATAAGAAAAGAATTCCGTGTGGTTAGTGATACAACAAGCTTTAGCTTAAAAACAAAATCAGGAGCAACCTTTTAAAATACATATGTTTATAATTGCTCGAGATAGTCCTCTTCACAAAAGTGACAGAAAACAAATGGACAACAAACTCTCATGACAGTTAATTTAAATGAGACACAAACTGGGTGAGGTAATGTCTTTTATTAGACCAACTTCTGTTGGTCAAAGAGACAAGTTTTCAAGCTACAGGGCTCTTCTTCAGGTCTGGGAGAGGTAATCAGAATGTCACAGCTAAATACAAGGTAGAAAAGATTGTGAAGCATTAGGATTTAACACATTGCAAGACACCATTCCTGATGAAGCGGGCAATTAATACCTCTATAGAGGTGTAGCTCAAAAGCGTGTCTCTCTCAGCAACAGAAGTTGCTCCAATAAAAGATATTATCTCACCTGCTTTGTGTCTCTCATATCTTGGGACCAACATGGCTATACCACTGCAAACAGTGAATTTAAATATCATTGCTCCTTGTAAACACCCTCATGCTAATTCTGCAATCTATGTATATTTATATTAGAAATTGGTATAAAACAAAACCTTTCATCCAAACACCCTCAGACTTTGGGGATCTGGTTCCAGATCTGAACTTGCAACTCAAGTCCCTCTCTAGTTCATACTGTTTTAAAATTATTTCTTTCTTGTATGTTACCATAGATGTATATAGCATTTTACAAGCACGCTGTTAAACAATGTCCTTCTTCCAAAGGAACTTTCCTTCTAATTTGAATGGACAATAAATTAAAAGTAACGTATCATGTTTCAAAGAATTAAAGTGTTAGCAATAAGAATGGGAACAGTCAGTCTGAAGAGATCATTGAGGGAAGACTCAGGGCAAGTCTACACTACAGCACTACATCGGCGCGGCTGCAGCACGTCTTCACCAGTGAGAGAGCGCTCTCCCGTCGGCATAATCATTCCACTTTGGCGAGAAGCGGAAGCGCGTCTCCCGCCGACATAGCACTGATGTGGACAGCGTAAAACTTGTGTCACTGGGGAGTAGGGGGGTTCACACCCCTGAGCGACGTAAGTTATATCAGCTTAGGCTGTAGCATAGACCTGCCTAAAGAATGAATGGCTGTGCTATAAATATTATGGGTGTGGGTGAGAATCTATGTAGTGCCTTTAGGGCCTGGTCTACACTACGAGTTTAGGTCGACTTTAGCCGCGTTAAATCGACTTAAGCCTGGACACGTTTACACTACGAAGCCCTTTCTTTCGACTTAAAGGGCCCTTTAAACCGGTTTCTTAACACCACCTCGACAAGGGGATTAGCGATAAAATCGGCCTTAGGGGGTCGGAATTGGGTTAGTGTGGACGGAATTCGACATTATTGGCCTCCGGGAGCTATCCCACAGTGCTTCATTGTGACCGCTCTGGACAGCACTCTCATCTCAGATGCACTGGCCAGGTAGACAGGAAAAGCCCCGCGAACGTTTGAATTTCATTTCCTGTTTGCTCAGCATGGAGAGCACAGGTGACCATGCAGAGCTCATCAGCACAGGTAACCATGATGGAGTCCCAGTCCCAGGATCGCAGAAGAGCTCCAGCCTGGACCGAACGGGGGGTACGGGATCTGATCGCCATCTGGGGAGATGAAGCAGTGCTCGCCGAACTCCGAAACAGTAAAAGAAACGGCAAAACATTAGAAAAGGTCTCCAAGGCCATGAAGGACAGAGGCCATAACAGGGACGCACAGCAGTGCCGCGTGAAAATTAAGGAGCTAAGGCAAGCCTACCACAAAGCCAGAGACGCAAACGGAAGGTCCGGGGCTGAGCCGCAAACATGCCGCTACTACGCGGAGCTGCATGCCATTCTAGGGGGTGCAGCCACCACTAGCCCAAGCGTGTGCTATCAGTCCCTCGCTGGAAACAGGGAAGCGGGTTCGGCGGACGAGGAAGATGAGGATGGAGAGAACATAGATAGCTCACAGCAGCAAGGAAGCGGAGAAACCAGTTACCCCAACAGCCAGGATATGTTTGTCACCCTGGACCTGGAACCAGTAACCCCCGAACTCACCCAAGACCCTGAGGGCACACAGGGGACCTCTGGTGAGTGTACCTTTGTAAATATTACACATGGTTTAAAAACAAGCGTGTTTAATGATTAATGATTAATTTGCCCTGGCAATCGCGGCCAGTACAGCTACTGGAAAAGTCTGTTAACGTGTATGGGGATGGAGCGGAAATCCTCCAGGGACATCTCCAGAAAGCTCTCCTTCATGTACTCCCAAAGCCTTTGCAAAAGGTTTCTGGGGAGGGCTGCCTTATCCCGTCCGCCATGGTAGGACACTTTACCACGCCAGGCCAGTAGCACGTAGTCTGGAATCATTGCATAACAAAGCATGGCAGCGTATGGTCCCGGTGTTTGCTGGCATGCAGACAACATCCATTCCTTATCGCTCTTTGTTATCCTCAGGAGAGTGATATCATTCACGGTCACCTGGTTGAAATGGCGCAATTTTATTAAGGGGACAATTTTATTTCCTGCTCTGCTGAACAGAAATATTCCCCGCTGTTAACCACGCGGTGGGGGGGAGGGGTGAAGTGACCATCCCAGAGAATTGGGTGTGTGGGGGAGGGGAGTTAGTTGGGTTTGTGCTGCATGTTAAACCTGAAATCGCAGCCCCTCCTTTTACATTGCAAACCCATTTTAAATGGCCAACCAAACGGGTGCTTGGTATGGGAAATGAGGGCAGTACTGTTTGAAACCATCCCCACATGTTAAGAAGGTTAAAAAAGCCCAAAGACTGTATGTCTTACCATGGCTGCCTGCAAGCTGAAATCTGTGTCCTGGCACTGCGTGAGTGATCTCTCACACCAAACCAGGAGACTCTCAATATAAGAGGAAAAATGCGACCTTGTAACGAAAGCACATGTGCTGTGTGATGTTGTGAACAGCAAAATCTAACGTGAAAGAGTGTACCCATTGTTCTCTAAAATGTATCTTTTTTAACAACCTCTCCCTTCTCCACCAGCTGCAAATCTTACTCCTTCGCAGAGGCTAGTGAATATTCGAAGAAGGAAGCGAAGGACGCGTGACGAAATGTTTAGTGAACTACAGACTGCCTCCCACGCTGACAGAGCACAGCAGAATGCGTGGAGGCAGTCAATGACTGATTTTAAAAAAGCCCAATATGAGCGAGAGGAGAGGTGGCGTGCTGAATCGCGGGCTGAAGAGGAGAAGTTGCGTGCTGAAACGCGGGCTGAAGAGGAGAGGTGGCGTCAACTTGTACTCAGAAAGCAAGAGTCGATGCTCCGGCTGCTGGAGCATCAAAGTGATATGCTCCTGTGTATGGTTGAGCTGCAGGAAAGGCAGCAGGAGCAGAGACCGCCGCTACAGCCCCTCTGTAACCAACAGCCCTCCTCCCCAAGTCCCATTGCCTCCTCACCCAGACGCCCAAGAACACGGTGGGGGGGCCTCCGGCCACCCAATCACTCCAGCCTAGATGATTTCCAGTGCAATAAGTTTTAAAGTTTTAAAGTGCACTGTGTCTTTTTCCTTCCCTCCTCCCCCACCCATCCAGGCCTACCTTTGCAATTATCCCCTTAGTTGTGTGCTGAATTAATAAAGAATGCATGAATGTGAAGTAACAATGACTTTATTGCCTCTGCAAGTGGTGCTCGAAGGGGGGAGGGTAGTAGGGGAGGGTGGGGTGGTTGGTTTGCAGGGAAGTAGAGTTAACCGGGTGGGGGGGGAGGGGCGGAGGGTTCACTAAGGAGAAACAAACAGAAGTTTCACTCCGTAGCCTGGCCAGTCACAAAACTGGTTTTCAACGCTTCTCTGATGCGCACCGCGCCCTGCTGTGCTCCTCTAACCGCCCTGGTGTCTGGCTGCGCGTAATCAGCGGCCAGGCGATTTGCCTCAACCTCCCACCCCGCCATAAATGTCTCCCCCTTACTTTCACAGATATTGTGGAGCGCACAGCAAGCAGCAATAACAATGGGGATATTCTTTTCGCTAAGGTCTGAGCGAGTCAGTAAGCTGCGCCAGCGCGCTTTTAAACGCCCAAATGCACATTCCACTATCATTCGGCACTTGCTCAGCCTGTAGTTGAACAGGTCCTGACTACTGTCCAGGCTGCCTGTGTACGGCTTCATGAGCCATGGCATTAAGGGGTAGGCTGGGTCCCCAAGGATAACGATAGGCATTTCAACATCCCCAATGGTTATTTTCTGGTCCGGGAAGAAAGTCCCTTCCTCCAGCTTTCGAAACAGAAGAGACTGCCTGAAGACGCGAGCATCATGTACCCTTCCCGGCCAGCCCACGTTGATGTCGGTGAAATGTCCCTTGTGATCCACCAGGGCTTGCAGCAGCATTGAAAAGTACCCCTTGCGGTTTATGTAGTCGGTGGCTTGGTGCGCCGGTGCCAAGATAGGGATATGGGTTCCGTCTATGGCCCCACCACAGTTTGGGAATCCCATTGCAGCAAAGCCATCCACTATGGTCTGCACGTTTCCCAGAGTCACTACCCTTGATATCACCAGGTCTCTCATTGCCCTGGCAACTTGGATCACAGCAGCCCCCACAGTAGATTTGCCCACTCCAAATTGATTCCCCACTGACCGGTAGCTGTCTGGCGTTGCAAGCTTCCACAGGGCTATCGCCACTCGCTTCTCCACTGTGAGGGCTGCTCTCATCCTGGTATTCTGGCGCTTCAGGGCAGGGGAAAGCAAGTCACAAAGTTCCATGAAAGTGCCCTTACGCATGCGAAAGTTTCGCAGCCACTGGGCATCGTCCCAGACCTGCAACACGATGCGGTCCCACCAGTCTGTGCTTGTTTCCCGGGCCCAGAATCGGCGGTCCACGGCATGAACCTGCCCCAGTAACACCATGATTTCCACATTGCTGGGGCCTGTGCCTTGTGAGAGGTCCATGTCAATTTCCTCATCACTATCGTCGCCGCGCTGCAATCGCATCCTACTCAGCTGGTCCTGGTTTTGCTTTGGCATGTCCAGGAGGCTCTGCATATACTCCAGGACAATGCGCGTGGTGTTCATAGTGCTCATAATTGCCGCGGTGATCTGAGCGGGCTCCATGATCCCAGTGCTGGCTATGGCGTCTGGTCTGAAAAAAGGCGCGAAAGTAGTATCTGACGGACCAGGGGAAGAAGGGAGGGAGGGAGAGAGGGAGGGGCGAGTGACGACATGGCGTACAGGTACAGGGAATTAAAATCAAGAAAGGTGGCTTTGCATCAGGGAGAAACACAAACAACTGTCACACAGAATGGCCCCCCCCAAAGATTGAACTCAAAAGCCTGGGTTTAGCAGGAGGGAGGGGGGAAGCAAATGAATACAGAATAAATCTATTTTTTACATCTTAAGACGACGGTGCAGCATGACTGATAGCCCTTGGCATTTTCTGGGTGCTTGGCAGCAAATACTGGGCGCTTGGCAGTTAGCCTTCAGGTCTATTGCACCATCTGATACCCACTGCAGTATGACAACGATGGATACCAGTCGTAATATACTATCTTCTGCCCAAAAGGCAAGGGGTTGCTGCTGTGTAGCAATCTAGCCCCACGTCTGCCAGCCCCATGTCTGCCAGCACCCAGATCGCCATCGGCCTCTTCTGGGTGCTTAGCAGACAATACTGGGCACTTGGCAGAAAATAGCATACTACGACTCTGCTAACGTGCAATGATCCAACAGGGCGCATGGCAGAAAATAGCATACTACGACTGATAACCATCATTGTCTGCCCGGGTGCCCATGATTGACAGCCACTGCAGTACGACGACGACGGTTACCAGTCGTAATAAACCATCTTCTACCAAAAGGCAAGGGGCTGGTGCAATGCAGCCCCACGGCTGCCAGCGCCACAGCTGCCAGCACCCAGATCGCCAATGAAGGCTACCAGTCATGCTGCACCGTCTACCGCCAAAAGGCAGTAAGCTGCTGCTGCTGTTTAGCAATGCAGTCCCACGTTTGCCGGCACCCGGAAGACATATGGTGACGGTGAGCTGAGCTGAGCGGGCTCAATGCTTGGCGTGGTATGTTGTCTGCACAGGTAACCCAGGTAAAAAGGCACGAATCTATTGTCTGCCGTTGCTGTGACGGCGGGGGAGGGGCCTGACGCAATGTACCCAGAACCCCCCGCGGCACTGCTTTGCATCATTCGGGCATTGCGATATCAACCCATAATTCCAATGGGCACCGGAGACTCCGGGAACTGTGGGATAGGTACCATAGTGCAATGCGCCGGAAGTCGACGCTAGCCTCGGTACTGTGGACGCGGTCCGCCGACTTCATGCACTTAGAGCATTTTATGTGGGGACACACACAATCGGCTGCATACAACCAGTTTCTATAAAACCGGCTTCTATAAATCCGACCTAATTTTGTAGTGTAGACATACCCTAAGACAGTTGGGAGGGATGAGGATGAGGTGGCTTTAAGCCGCTTTAGCACCCTTCCAATCCTGGGTTGCTCTGGGGGATAGAGAGGCCCCTAGTTTAACTTAGACAGCCCTCAGGGCCTCTCTGTGGGTATGTCTACACTGCAAAAAAAACATGTTCTTAACTGAGGTTAGCTAACCTTTGTTCACTAACTTGGGTTAAAACACACCTTTTTTTGCAGTGTAGACATACCTCAAGTTAGAGAAGCTTCCCTGGGCTGCTCTGTGGACCACAGTACTGTGTGCTGTGGGCCTGTATCCAGCACAACTCTCCTGCTCCCAGGACAGCTCCATAGTGCACACCTCCTATGAGTGGGTCTTTGGGAGGCAGCCTATGGCTTTCTTCATCAATTCCTGCTTGGGGACAGTCCTCTTGCTGCTGGATGAAGGGCTTTTAGGATCCTTTTACATTGCTTCTGCCCTTTTACCTGTCATAACATGGCCAGAATGGAGATGAGTATCTTGCCCTCTGTGCAGGTGAACCCTAATTTTTCAATGGTTCCTGGAAATGCAGAAAATTGAGATTTTGGGGAAAAACAAAATTCCACTCTTGGTGGCATTTCTGAATTTTGCATAATTGAGTTTGGATAATCAGAATTTTACCTGTATTTCAAGGAGCACATGTGTGGCTCTCTATAGTTGTGAATAAGTGTATATGTGGCTTTTTACGATAGAGCAGTAATGCATTAAGAGGTATCTGTGAAGATGGAGAAGTGCAAGACAGCTTTGAGTGTGGTTGTTTTCAGAAGGTTGGCTGTAAAAATGTCACTGTATGGTTTTATATTTGCCTCACACTGGTTTCTGTATTAAATTTGCTCAAGTTACATTTAAAAGGATGTCTTTTCAAATTGTGACAGCCTTGCAGACTCACTATGGGAAGATGGATTCTGTCTGACGTGTACATGATGTACATTATTACCTGTTTACAATTGACTACACAGAAATTGTATGTCCAATGACTATGTATCTATCGAAGCACTTGAACTAAGGCCCCAGTCCTGCAGTTTAGAGTGAACGAGAAGACCTGTGCACCTTTGAGGAACCCTGTTGACTTCAGTGGGGCTCCCGGTAGACATAGCCGTTTTCCTATGTGCTATTAATTGCAGGATAAGAGTCTCTCTGCATAATAAGCTTCAGCCAGATGTGTATTAAAAGGGTTCACTGTCCTGATTTTTAGTCAGTTAATTAAATGTTAAATCCTATAGAAATATTTAGAAAAAGGCAAATATGTAAAGTGTATGTAACTGTTAAAAATCATTCTTTGCCTAACTTTTAAAAGTTCTATAAATTTGTCAAGGATTCTATCTTGTGTTTTCTCCAGCAGTTTTTGGAGTATCTGCTGGTTTACCTCATCTTATAAATACAGCAGTCAGTCCAGGATTTTTCCATTTGAATAAAGTACACCAGGTATGTTTATCAGTGTGAAAAAAATTATATCAATTTATGTATTTAAGCAGTATTTTGCATTAAAACGTGTAACAGATCTCAAGAATTGACAACTAAAATCAAATGTTTTTGTTAAAATGACTTTATGTAGTATATGTTAAATACAAAGTAATTTCAAGAGACTTTTTAAATAAGATATGAGATTTGACTAATCAAAATTGAGGAGTGCTTACTGTCTGTATGCAAATTACCATTTTATTTTTTCTAAATTTTTGATTCGCTGTTACCTGATTGTTTTGTGGTAGAGAGAACTTATCGTTTCTAGAAAGAACATCTGTTTCCAAGTAACAGGTTGAGTAACAAGGACCATTGATTCATTTTGTAAGTAGCTCATTCAAAAACAAAGCCTTTTTGGAAAATAAGTCTGATTCAAGGCTGGAAGTGTGTTATCATTGTGTTTATTTTTAAAGCCTGTAAAGTGTACTACATAAATGATAACAACAATAACAACAATAATAATTTTGAGGTGTTAGTTTTTAGCTAAAAATAAATCAAAACTGTGTATTACTGAAGTGTTCTCAGAGTTCTTGTGGTGTATTATAAGGCTCCTATGACTTCCAAACCACTATGAGCCCAACAGTAGTAAAAGGGGATATTCTGGAAGCTCATATAAAGAATCCAAAGTTCATAGGGGTATCTTGTAGGGAGATTTGGGATGAATCTACCCCCTAACTCAGGGACAAGGGCTGGGCTGGAGTAACAGCTTTTGTCCACAATCAGTACTCCCTTTTGTACCAATCTATTGAGTCAACAGGCCACCCAGTTTCCACTTCTGCTTACCACATCAGGACTACTGTAGGGGCTTCCACAGTGTGGACTCTGCCAAGGGGTGAATTTTACCCTTAGGAAATATGGGTGGGGTTTTCAAAAGTACCTAGAGAAGTCAGGAAGTTCTAATACCATTGATTTTTAAATGAGGCTTTTGCTCCTTACTCTATTCAGTACTTTTGAAATTCCTACTCAAAATAAAAACAATTCTTATTTATTCGTTACTATTTATATTATACTTTTAAGATCTATAGCTCCATATCTGTTAAGAGAGATTGAACTAAAATAGGAGAGATTTTCTTCACTGTAAAGACACTTTGCTTTCTCTCATTTTTCTATTATGCGTTATCTAGAGGCATGTATTCCTTTCAAATGTTAGGTATGTTGTTTAGATCTGCAGCACACCATAGAATAAAATACATTTGCTGCATGTTGTAAAGTTTATTGAACACAAAGAGTGTTATTTGCTTGCATTTTTAAAGTATATATATGACCTTTTCCTCTGATATATTTAGTTACTGCTGCTCTTTCTATGGTCTTGTAGATTTTGTGCTTCCTTGGAAGGCAACATAAATGCTTTTTAATCACAGTTGGAAGGAGGCATGTTGTACATAGTTGCAGTGTGACTGATGATGATCCGCTGCTTTTTGGCTTAAGTATACTACAGCCAAACAAACTATTGCTATTGCCTTGGATAGGGTCATGCATTTAATATTCTTCCATGGGAGCTCCTGCTTTTAATTAGTCACTAAACCTGGCCCAGTAAGCTGAGTTACTGCCAGTAATTTAATTATCTAGGTTCCTTTCATTGGCACTTGTGTACCCTTATTCTGTATTCTGTATCTTTTTGGGGTACTCTTCAATGCCAGAGAGTCTGGTCACTATTTCTTTCTTGGAATTCAGTGTTATCATGTACAGGAAAAGAAGCTGTGTTACTTTCTAGCTTTTTGTTGGTTTGTCAAAAGAACACTGGTTCAGCTTATTTCTGTATTCCTTCCTGCATAGGTTGTTTTTGCTGCGTGGACTTGACAGTTCAAGATTTTGTTAACTGATACGTTGAGAGGAATCACTTTTTAAAAATATGATGCCAAAACATTGCTTATAGAATAATTAAATTATAGATAATTAGGAGGACATGACAGATGAGAATTTGAACAGTTGTTTGGATGAATCACTGAATACTTTTTTTAACTTAACTACTCTTGGTATTTCTTAATGATAGAAATGTGTGTGCCACCATAACACATTTTGAACATTTAGAGTTATGTGTTAACTGCCTGATCTAACTGTTTAACAGCTCTTCCTGTGATTAATCCAGAGAGTCTGTTTTGAAGATTCAGCCAAACAATTTTCTTAAAAGTTTGTCATTTAATCAGTACATTTTCTTTCTTGATGTAACTCAGAAAATACAAATAAAATGATAAAAAATAAAGATGTACTGGCAACATCAGACGCAGGTCATTTCTACTTGAGATGCTTAGGACGGCTGTGCGGACTCAATACACAAACATATTGATGCAGTTAATCCAGATTTGGCCCCTGTTTGTTTTGCAGAGTTCTGTTTTTGCAGGTTCTTAGAGATTCCTTGTTTTGTGTGTTGATATTATTGTAAATAATTTCCAAAACACAGAGGACTGTTCTGTGACATGAATGTCTGTGTTCTACGTGTTCTGAGTTTAGTTCCTAAGGAATCTGCATCCCTGCCACTTTGGGACACAAACTGTGCTGGCTATAAATGTCTAAAAACATTTGTGAGGCAGAGTTCTGGCAAAGCCAGAAAGCATGCAAAGCCCTACTTGCTCTTCTCAGCTGCTTCTTCAGTTTTCAATCATTAGTGGTGATCTGTCTGCACTCACACAGTGAGGAATTTTTATTCCATATTTCTAGTCTTGCCTCACAGAATGCGTTCTTTAAATGCCAGAGTGCTACAGAAAAAGGTTTATAGAGACCTGGAGCAAACATATGTTTTGGCTGGCAAATCATGTTCAAGAACCTCTTGCTCTCCAAGAATGATGTTTGACTCAATGTTTTCAAGCAGTCATGTAGTTAGCACAAATTATAGCAGTGGTTCTCAAACTTTTGTACTGGTGACCCCTTTCACATAGCAAGCCTCTGAGTGTGACTCCCCCCTCTCTTTTATAAATTAAAAACACTTGTTTATATATTTAACAACATTATAAATGCTGGAAGCAAAGCGGGGTTTGGGGTGGAGGCTGACAGCTCACAACCCCTCATGTAATAACCTCACAATCCCCTTAGGGGTCCCGACCCCCAGTTTGAGAACCCCTGAAGTATAGCATGGTTTGATGCTCCAGTGTGGACAGCCATTTCTTTTAAACCATCATGCAATCCAAAAACCATACTGTAGAATATCCCCAAGGCAAAGTTCTAGTATGGCATCTCAACATGGTTTGTTAAGTGTCTTGATTGTGGATGAAAACCGTGTTACAACAGTGTTTTAGTGTAACTGTGCATGAAAACCATTTCAAAAAACATTATGAGCCACAGTATGAACATAGCCTGAATAACTAGCCACGTTATGAATGTTCTGGGAATAGTGCTCTATGGTAGGATACTTACCAATGAGAAAGGGAAGAATCATATATGTGTAGTTATCCTTTCTGAAGGTAGCATTAATGTTTAGAGACTGTAAAGCAGTATATAATAGCCCCTAACTATCCCAACATAACCTAATAAAGCAGTGAGATGTTTGGAGCAGATGCCATGTAAGAAATAAAAACATTGTAAAACACAATACAATAAACTACACTTATCCTCTAAAAAGCACCCAGAACATCAAACTGGAGGAAAGGAAGGATAAAAGGAATTCAGAATCTTCTGAAAGCTTTGATTGCAAATGAAGCAAGGATTTGGTTTTATGGAGGGGAAGTCACTGACTTCAGATAAACATAGATATTGTCATTCCCCTTTGTCATGTTTATTCATAAGCTAAAAGTATCTGGCCTATATCACATCAGCTGGAAATCTTGCAACAAGTGTAATTTTTTTGTATTCTTTAACTAATGCTTCTTGTGTCAATTTGACAGAATTCTGTTCTGGGGAATACATCTAATTTACTGCTACAGAACCTCTCCCACCTACAACTGGCACAGAAGCAACTAATTAAAATTGAGAATATTCAAACTAACAGTGTAAGTTCATCATTTTAACTTTAGTTATCTACCTGTGTACCTTTTTATTAACTATTTTCTAAAACAAATAGGACTTTTTAGCCTATTAAAACTTTAACCATCTAGCATATGTAGAAGAGATTAACTGTATGTGAAAGCCTGTGGAATAGCTAAGATGACTGTAGTCATTTACAATACAACTTGTTCTTTTTTATAGAAACCTGGCTTACTTGGAGAGCCTCCACCAATGTTACTTCAGACAGTATTGGGAACAAGGCCAATACCATCAGTGAGTGCAGACCTGGGAAACCATGGAGAAGCGCATACATGTAAATGACATTTTGTTTCATACTGTACCAGCAGAAATGTCCAGTTTGAAAATATGCAGCTGACTCACTCCTACTTTTTTAACAAAAGTGATAATCAATAACTTTAACCTTATCACCACAGAATAAGGAAGCCACCATGCCTAACAACAATGTGAAATACAGGAGCATTTAACAAAATAATTATGTTGATTATTGCTGTATTGATCGGTTTCGGTTGGCTGCTTTCACTATCTGGCACAAACTCCGAGGCTTCCCAGTTACACAAACTTAGATATTTTATGAAAAAAGCAGCAATGCAACCAATGGGCATATTTTCATTTAGCTTCTAAAGCATACATAGATGAGGATTCTGGCACAGACACCTTGACTTCATTGCCTTCTCTTCCAGAAGATTCCCATATTTTTGTTTTCCATGGTCTGTATTTGCCAGGCATGTACTTGAGTATCTAAATCTCCAGCAGGCTACTGTCTGCTCATGTTAATTTTGCAGGCTTAAACATCAAAATCCAGACAAATTCAGAATAATTAGCATGGTATCATATATCCCACACACACTTGCTTACATCTTGGTGTCAGTTCAGGCTGACCTGGAAGGTTATCACTTAAGTCAAACAGGTATATAACTGAAAGAAGCCAAGAGTAAGCAGAATAGCAAAATGTAAACAGAAATGGGCCACATATTCCAAGGAGAGGCTAACCATGAACAGACTTGCTGATTAACCCCTTTATGCTAGGAATGAGCTGTTCCTGATGTGAGCTAAATTTTTAACAGCGGCCTCTAAAATCATGGACACATTTTTTCATGACCGCATTATTTTAATTCCTAAATAGGGTAGTTAGATGTCTATTCTGTTTGTGCGAAATGACTCTAGGAGTTAACGCTAGGTGCTTTAACATTTAATATAAGACAGTCTCATCTTCCTGTGTTGAGTGAAATTAGCACAGTATCAACACTCTCCTATTACAACTCTTAACTGTCAGATAAACCCACAGCAATATATTTGGCTAGGGTTCTGAATTTGCTTTAATGGCTTAAGGTGATTTGTATGCTATTTCTTGCCTGAAGTTCTCAGTTTCTGAAAGGAGCACTGTTTTCATTTTAGTGTCTTATTTTTTTACTGATGTTCTTGGATATATGAATGGGACTAGATCTTATTCACTTTTCTTTGCTTATGCCCATATCCCCTATCTGATGCAATGTACTAGACATGTTAAAAAGGGCATTTGCTTTACTTTATATTACTTTGGTTTTCAATACTTGTAGCCTCTCTTAGTCCATGCCTTTTAGTCCTACAATTAACTTTATTCCATTTTAAGGGCGTCTACTTTTAATACGCTTGTAGACCTCGACATTTTGATTTTGGAGAAATCAAATATCTTGATTTTACTGATAGTCCTTGTTTTTAATGAATTTTCCTAATGTCTTGTCTCTTCACATGAGGACAGAAATAGGTGTTTCGTATTCATTCCTGTAGGTTCCCACCTGATACATCTCCACATCACAAAGCTTCTCTTACAAGTAGCTGTTCTGTTGAAATCAGCTGTGAATCCAGCCCACCGGAATCCTATTAGGTTTTACCTGGTGTTGAGTAAAAGTCCATTACATGGAATGTTTTAAACCTCTAAAGTTGTTGACATTACATCTTGATGGAAAAGGAATTAGCGCTCAAGTTGGGAGAGGTAGTTCAACGGCATCAAGGAGTTTAAAGGCTTTCTGAAGACTAATGCTCTTCATTGCATATAAATCTATGTATTTGGATAAGCCTACAGTTACTACTCTGCATTTGATTTCACTTCCCTGTGAATACCGTAAAGTGAGGGTGCTTTGTCCCTTGTCAGGAAGGAGGGTGGGGAAAAAGCTTTGGTAATTCATTAGAGATTCCTGCAGCCAGCAAAGTGCTGGTGAACGTGCAGTTCCATGCAGTTCTCAGCCGCAAGGAAGATGGTTCTGATGTGGAGCCTTGAAATGTAAACTGAGGAAAAATGGAATGGGATGTAGGCGTTAAGATTCTATAAAGCCCCAGTGCCCTGCTCCCCTAATAGGGTGAAAGAAGAGAAGGAAAACGTGTAACCTACACACCTCATTTGGAACCGGAAGTACACAATCAGGCAGCAGCAGAGACCAAAAAAAAAAAAAAAGGCAAATACATTACAGTACTGTGTTAAATGTAAACTACTAAAAAAATTAAAGGGAAAGCTTAAAAAAAGATTTGAGAAGGCAAGGAAACTGTTTCTGTGCTTGTTTCGTTTAAATTAAGAGGGTTAAAAGCAGCATTTTTCTTCTGCATGTTAACAGTTCAAATCTGTATTAAGTCTATGTTCAGTTGTAAACTTTTGAAAGAACAGCCATAACGTTTTGTTCAGAGTTCCAAACAACTTACATCCCCGAGGTGTTCGTAACTCTAAGGTTCTACTGTATATACAGGTTAATTATGACTATAAACATAATTAGCAGCTTTGCCTTTTAATGGAATTTTATTTCTCTATCTTTTTTAAGGACGGTATTAAGAAGATGAGTTGTTAGCATTAGTCATTCTTTTCTTCATAGTGGTATAATAAATTTTTCTTGTTTCTGAAATTTTGTTTGTAACTTGAAAACTGCTCAAAATAATTCTCTTGACAGATAATTTCAGAAACTACACATCTGCATTTTATGGGTCTATTATAGATATACTCTGCAAGAGCAAGATCTAGTGGGATTAGTGGAGGATAGTCCAGCTTGGCTTTAGAGATGATTGTCTCTTGGACACGTTCCCTTCCACTCCCCGTTGCACAGATCACCTCTGTTCCCATTTGTAATTGCATATAATGTGGATACAATCAAAATTAATGACAACTTACATTGCACAAACATTGTAACAACTCAATTGCCATATGTTGCATGTTAATATCCGAAAGTGCACTGCACTTGGTGACGTGGTTACCGCTAGTACAGATCCTGGAATTGGCTCTATTTCACATGTCATTACCAACCACAATGCAGAATTATTGCCCTTTAGGTTCCAGGATGTGCCATCTTCAGAGGAGTCTGAGTTTCATTTTTATCTCTAGTAAGGTGCAGCCAATGGTCATTCCGTACAAAATATTGGTAAAGACTATTGTTTTTATACTTGATTGATGCTCTCCTATGCAACTCTGATTTGTTGCTCAGCTGTTCAGCAAGTTGGGAGTTTCAGTAGCAGAACTGGTGTTTTGTGTTAAATGCTAGAAAGGAAGAATGAAGTCAAAGCTATATCTGTAATACTCATATTGTCCTACACACAGAGCACTTTACAGGCTAATTTATGGGCTTTGAAGGGACGCTGTCAATTTAAAATCCATTGAATTAACTTTAAAATCCACCGAATGAATTAAAAATAGTGTCATGTACTATGCCTGCCCTGAGTCCCTCTGTGTGTTTTACACGTTACTGTGTGAAAGACCCACCCAAACAACTGAGGACAATGACTTACTACACAGGAGAGACTGTACAAAAATGGATGTTGTGAATGCACAAACTAAACAAAATAGAAATACTTTCTTCTCTAATCTCTGTTATCTTGGGTATTGTAACTCAGAGGTAAATTGTTCTCTGAGAAAAGGGTGATTTTTTTTTCTTTTAAATTGACTGTGTCCCTTTAGCAAACAGATACAAATTTGAGATAGAGATCACTTTATTCACTCTGAAGTATGACCTCAGGGTGGAACTTGATACACGTTTTACAACACTATGCAACAGTTTATGACAGGAAATGAAGACGAATGCTCAATCCAAGTGGAACTGCAGGGGAAAATTAGATACACAGAACATAAGTATTTGACTTTGAATTTGGCCAGGACAACGGGGTTAACACCCTTGTCTCCTGTGAGAAGTGCCAGCTGTTGCTCACTTTGTTTTTTGTAAGAGGGTGCTTCCAGCAATCCAGTGCTTTGTGATACTATACTGCAGTTTGCTTCAGTCCTAACTCAGAAGGCAAAGTGCCAGCTACTAAATCACTGACTCCACTTCCTGAGGCATGTATGCGTTTATTGGCAGAATCACTCACACAGATATGCATGGACCTGGCCTAACTCTGCTTCACTTGAGAACTCATGGGATTGCAGTGCAAAGTTGGTATATCAGTAGGTTTTTTCAAAAAGGTTTCAGGTGGAGTATATGCTGAGGAACCCTGCAGACTGGCCATTGGATTTGTTCTGTATTGCTTGTGCATAGCATTTCTTATGTGTAACTGCACCTTCAGGCCTTGGTAGCAGTCTGATTTTGTAATCCTTGTGCACAATGTGCTGTACAACAGGTGTTCCCCCTGAAGTGTTGTGTGTGCACACCATGGCTTCTCAGCAGCTAGCCAATAGAAGCAGAAGGTTAACCAAACATCTTCCCTATTCCCGGATGATGAAAAAATTGAGCAGGGATTATCCATTGGGATCAGATGGGCAAGTTCTACACAATCAGTTTCATAGAATTGTAGGTGAGTGGCCATGGGGGAAGCTTGGTCCTGCCTAGCTTCTTCAATGTTTCTGTCCTGAATGTGGTAAAACATGGCTTGTGTTTACTGCCCGGGATGCCCCTTTCATAATACCTGAGCAAACAGCACAGGCCTTTTAAGGAAACCCTTGTAAATTTCTATTTGCCACTAAAATCAGCCTTGCAGTAGATTTTACCACTTTCCCTCCCTCTTGATTCCAACATTTGACAACGGGGAATTATATGCAGTGCCTTGAAAATCCAGATGGCAGCTCTTAAATGTTTGTGCTCTTAGTGGACTATTTGGTAGGAATTCTTTCATGGTTTATTTCTATATATTTAAAATAAACTATCCTGTGGCCCCCTAAAGCCTTAATCTGGTGCATCCCAGGTTCTGACTTTTGTGCCTCTCTCCTCCATCTTTCTTTGGGTTTTGGCACAAAGCGTTTCTTGTTTAATAGATTTACATGTGCCAGGTGAGTGGGTGCTATCCCGCAGTCCCTCTTGGTATTTCATCATATTGATGATTTGCAAAAGTTTCTGCAGAATTTCCTGCTTAAACCAGTATCTTCTCTCCTCTGTCTCACTTCTCTCAGTTGTTCACCTGGTGCAGATGACATTGTGGCATTTTTTGAATATTTTCAGGATGCTAATACTCTACTTGCACAGATATTACCAATTTTTAGGAAGGTTGGAGCCACTTTTTTTATTCAGGATCTGCCTTTTTAGACTTGTTATTCCAAGGTGAATAAACTCCTCTAGTTGAGGAGCTCTGCAAACAGTTTGTTTGTGCTCACTCCATTAAGCATTAGAGGTTTACTGTCTAAGTGTTGATGGATGTGACTTTTGGTTGCAAATTCCTTGGCACAGTGATGCCTTAAGCTGTCTGTGGAAAGATCGGAGATGACTCTGTTTAGTATAACTTCTTCTTTTCCACCCAGTTTGTTTTTGGGACTACTAACAGCCCCACACTCTGCATTGATTGCACCCAAGTCTTGTTAAATAAATGATTTCAGACACCTTACTTCATTTTACAGTATTCCTAGACAAGGCTTGAATAATGCACTCACCAGTGGTAAGTAGAAGAGTTTTCCTGTGGAGCAGTGAGACTTAGGCCACCAATTTCTGCAGAATTTAAGCCTTCATTTAATTAAAAAAAGAGTTTATTGCCCTTCAGGTTGTGAAGAAAACCTTCCTAGTGTGAACTGATGCTGTGCAGTTTTCCTGAGCCCACAGACAGATCACTTAGGGGCCTCTGCTGCTGTTCATAGCTTTCTTGAGTAGCAGAAAAAACAAATGAACCAGTTTAACTTCTTAGCCTAGCAGATGTTTAGACTGAAATAGCATTAAATACAGTTACAGTTTTCTGTTCTAGCTTTAGTTTTAAATTAAGCTCCAGGTTTTTATTACTGCAGCATTCCTGGCCACCAGCATCAGGATTAACTGTTATGTGACAGCTTTGAAATAGATTTCTCAATGTTTTTGTCATCACTTAATAAAAACCACAAGTAAAATGTTCTGATAAATCTTGTCTAACAGAAAGGTTTCTCCATTTATGGTTGACTGCAGCATCTAATGTGACTCCAAATCGAACAACAGCAGCAACAGGGATGGGCATCTTGCCATTCTTTCCAAATCAGCCCGTTGTTGGACAAGCTATGCCAGGGCAAAATAATACTCAGGATAAACAATCAACTACAGTGGGACTGTCAGAAGGAGCTGGCTCAGGGTCGCAGGCTTGTCTTCAGAGCTTAACAAATTTTACTGCTGGAGGCTTACGCACAGAACATCCCCAACAGCAAAGTCAGCCAAAAAGCACTGATACAAGTTCAGGGGTAAGAAAAACCGGACATAGATTTTGCATTCCTGTACTCCCGCCCCCTTTGTTGTTGTTGTTGTTCCAATTACAAGTTAACTGCATTTTCTTTTTGCAGTATCTCCATTATAATATTTACTGAATCATAGAATGATTTATAAAGCATTTTAAGGTCATTTGGATTATGAATTACAGCAAGGAAACATTAATGTCTTTTGATTGTCAAAATGAATTAACAAAGAGGAATCTTTCTATAGTACTATTATCCTCATGTACGTGCCTCTGTATATGTAATGATGAAATTATCTAAGCTACAGGAAATGCCCTTTTTAGACAGTAAAAATGGAACTCGTGTTGCAATTCATTCACTGTAAACTAGAACAGTACCTCTAGGTTAGGGTGTGTGTGTGTGTGTTTCTAATCTGCAGCCTCTTAAAACACAATTGGCATTTCCTTGACATCAGATCAGGTTTAGTAGTTATTCTTTCAAAGTGTGTGGATGCAGAAGAAAAAATTAAAGCTGAAATGAAATGCTTTATTAAAAACTGTTTGAGATTCGCAGCCATTAACTGGATTCTGTACATGTATTTACTTAAACATTTGACATTTACAGAAAACTTGAAATATCTTAGATTATTATATTTTGATTTAAGTTTTCTTGTTTTCCTGAAGCGGTTGAGATTACTAGCACCTAAGCAGTGTCTTCGGCTACATTCTGTTTTCAGCATTTATTTAATATGTAATTATTTTAATTTTTAAATCTATGTTAGTGTAATGATTTGGGATTTTAAACAGATTATTTTTGTATATTTTAATCAGCATTTCCGTTCACCCTTTCATACAGATAAAAAAGGAAAATAAACTTTTAAAACTCCAGATAATCAAGTATTCTAAAAATGAATCTGCAGGTTATCTTGGGAGGTTTTGAATCCCATACTTTTGGACAGCCTTTCTGGCAGAGATATTAATAAAGTTACTTCCTTTTCTGCATCAATTGATACAGGGGCCAGTTTTCTAAGGCGAGTGCATTAGTAGCACATTCCAGATTTGTGCATTTTTAACAGAATGGATTTAGAATAAAATTATATAAAAATCACACTGGGCTACATGTTTCAAGTGATTATATGTTCTCCAGTTTGAAATCAGCCCATCCATACTCTGGGATGGCTGCTCAGTGGTCTCTGTGAAATTGAGAGAGTGTTGTCTTCAGTCCAGTTCCCAGTGGACAGGTATCACGAAACTCCTAATAGTATGGCACTAACTGGTTTCCCCTCATAGTCAGTGTCAACTGAACCCAAGGTTTGAATGGGCCTGGAGACTGAACCACCTCCTGACTCACTGAGGTAGGAACCTTTCCCAGAATAGGGCTCCGCTACAGTGGTAGTGTGAGGTGGGACTCATGCCTTACTGAGTTTTGACTAAAGAGAGGATTTCAGTTTCCCAGGCTGACATTGTGGCACTTCTCATGAGCATTAAATTCCATTTTAGACATGCAAATCCATTTGCATTTTTAATTATGATTTTAAATATTAAGGGCAACAAATTGCCCTTATTTGAATAAACTCCTTGGTACTAGTAGTAGAAAAAGCCAACTTCCAACCCAAACGGATGTACCAAATGTGATTACCAGGTGAATTAGGAACCTGAATGTACATTAACAGTGAAGAGATTACACCCAGTGTTGAAAAGCAGGTAAAAATCCTCTGAAATTTATGGCCCAAATTATCTGTTGGTGTGATGCCATTGAGGTCTTATGCCCACAGAAAATTTGGCCCAATAGTTTGCCCTCTATGTAGGATACTCAGTACATCTCTGTGGAATCTCACTCAGTGTTCTGATTGGCCTGTAAAAGAGGTGATTTTCAGTTCCCATGTGTTACAGTTTGAGAGGTGACATATGCCTCAGCATAAACCAGTTCCTTTGTGTTTATTGATATTAATAGTAAGTGCTTCTGCATCACTGTTATGACTTATCAGGAGACCCATCTCTCAAAAGTGGCGAGAACAATGTTTTCTGGGAGGTGTTGGGGGTGCTATGACAGGTGTTTTAAATGTTGCTAGAATCTATGTAGGATTAGCTAACTAATTTGCCACCTGCACATGTAACTCTATTTTGGGTATATTTTTATGCTGTAAATCAACAAATTAAATGTAAGGTTAAGCTAGGGGAGTGCTCACTAGCGTGCTAAGAATAGCTGTGTAGATGCTGTCCTCCCTCCCTAGCCCCTCACCAGACTTGAGCTGCAATGTCTACACAGCTATTTTTAGCACGCGAGTGAGAGCGCTGCTAGCCCGAGTCTGCGGACCCAGGCTAGGCGCTCGCTCCGGAATGTAGCATGGACATATCCTTAGGGGTGGCCTTTGGGCAGGCAGGCTGCCTCTGGAGCTCCTGCTCTCCTCCTGAAACAGCTTGTCCCTGTTAAGGACCTAGCACCCCAGAGAAGAAAAAACTAGCAGAATAGACTCAGTTCATCACAGTTCCAGAAGCCCACGCACCTCTGCTGGTTTGGGGGAGTGAGTGAGTCCTGGGGTCTCAGACCCGCTCCCAACTATTTTTCCCTTTAATGTAAGTAGTGCTAGCGCTGATAAGCAGCTTGATCAGAAAGGCATTTTACATTAGTACATCAGAGAAAATTCTGCCTCCCTAAGTCAGAGTTCATCAGTCCTTGGTTTGCCAGAGACTTGAGTTGAAGCTAGTCGTCTATATCACATGCTTACTGTTAGCGTATTAATCTGATGGCTTTTAGTGAGGTTTTAAATATTCTCAGGTAAACTAAGTTTCCCCCCTTCCCCAACCCTTCCCTGCTGGTCCAAAGAGACACTTGGCTGACAAACTACTTGGCAAGAAAAAATATCTGTGATCTGAGCAGTCTGTTCAGATGATTCAGTTCAGGATCGATGTGGAGATATTCTGCTGTAAAACCTATGGAATCTGCATGTTTTTAAAGTCATGTAGAGACAAGCACATGTCATTGCTTTTGTTTTACTTATGACTTGAGTGATAGCTGAAAAATGGAATGAATGACGATTTATAACATTTTTACAGATTCCCTCAAAAAACCAGACTTCGCTCCTGGGAGAACCACCCAAAGAAATCCGTCTTAGTACCAATCCCTACTTGAATTTGGCAAGCGTGTTGCGTGGTGTATGTCTTTCAGGTAAGCAGCCATTCCGCAGATGCTGGTCTAACAGCTTGTGATTTGATTTAAGGCTTTCAAGAGCAGAGTGTGGTAAGTTGTTTTTCTGCTTACTAAACGATCCCAACAACCACAGCATTTGTCATTAATAAAACCTTGGATTCTCTTTCAAAGAACTTGCACCGAGAAGAAAAGTAAATTGATATAAACGACCTTCATAACTGATTTTCTAGTTGGAAAAATACAGTTTATATGAGTACTTATCTGTAAAGAGATATTATGTGCTGCAGTATTTCTAATGCAAATGTACAGTTAGCATATTTGTTCCGAATTTATGTACATTCTAGAAACTATTTTCTATCAAACATAAGATCTTTTATATTTTGGGCTAGATTTTGATTACAGTTAAATGTGTAAATCTGGAGTAATAAATTTCAGGTCTGTGACAATATTCTGGGTTTACACAAGTGTATCCAAGATCAAAGTGTGCCCCTTAATGGTTGCACAGCATGTATAAACTGAATATATTCATTTTGTTTTGAGCAGGAGTTGCCAGCAAAGCAACTAGTACACAGCAGCACCCTGGGCTTTCAAGCAACATAGTGGATGCTGCAGTCTCTCAGGGAACTACATCACAACATGCAATGGAAAACTACTTTAATTATTCTCAACAGTATGGGGATTATACACAGGTATGTTAGCTAACAGTACTTTCCTTCCTGTAATGGGGTGCTTGGTATATTTTTATTGCTTATAGATAACTGAAGTTACACTGTAGTTGCATGTTGTTGTTTTGTGTTCTACTTGGAGTAGGACCTGTTGTAAAGACATCCCATAGGGCTGTGAAGATGATGGAGTTACTTGGCTCAATGGTACTATAAATTATAGAGCATTTTGATCAATTTTTATGTCGTTAATAAAGAGGATATTATCACTTGGGTCCTGGTAACAATTTAGATGACAAGTGCAGAATGAAGTCTTTTTCACGAGCTATAAGATAAACAAATTCCAAACCAACGAATCAAGTTATTTAAGGTGTAATGGGCATTACAAACATATACTATACTAGATGAGGTTCAGACATATAATTGTTCTATATCTTCTGGGTGAATAGAAGACTTTAGTGTGGTCAGTCTGACACCTATCACATAATCACTTAAAACATATATTTAAACTGTTCCGTTGGATTTTTATTATTGGTTTTAAATCTGTTTTTGTGTGTCTTGGAGAGATTTTGTCTTTAATTAAATCTAGTGCCCTGTGAAGGTCATGGGAAATTGGCATAAAGTAAAATCACCATAGCAGGCAGATGAAGTGAACGAGTTTTTTTTCATTTATAGGAGGCTGTCCAGCAGTGGTATCAGCATTATGCGCAGGCATACAACGCTACTCAAGCAAGAGTAGGTGAATTTGAAAATGAAGCTTCCGAGGTAAAAGTGAAATGAATTTCCTTCACATTTCCATTGACTGCTTTTCTCCTTTAGCATTAGGATGCTACATGTGTTTCAGCGCTACTGTAAACAGAAAGGACCAGATTGTGTGGGGAAAATGGTGCCAGAGAGTCACCGTGTGGATCCCAAACACTCAGTCTTTGGTATTCCCTAAGCCGTCCTGTACCTAGGATCCTACAACCTAAAGTTTTCACCATGTGCTGTAAAATAGAGCAGGGGTGCACCAAAAATGATCATACATTGCAGCCATAGAACAGCATAAGTGAACAAGAGATTATCAAGTTATTTCCCACTAAGGTATTATCCAAGAGCTATTTAGCTCTCACATTGTTATAGATCCCCAGTAGGTGCTGCAGTGCAAATGGTAGGCAAAATCTAAAAAATACAAAACCAAATTTCCTTTTTTTTTTTTAAATCTCTATGCACACAATCCTTTAAAAGTTCCTATATCAGACTCAATGAGAGAGATAAATTGCTGTAGGCCTGAGCTGTTCTGAACTAAAAATTCTTTCCTTTAGAAACTTGGTTTGACTCAGATATTTCCATATCTTTCCACTGATAGTTACTATCGTCAAATAAGAGTAATTACTTAAAAATAAATAGTTTTGTTTTGACCTTTGGTTTATCATGGATCCTCTTCTCCATTTAGGAACCTGCTATATCTTATGGAGACTACAATACCTATTTGCAGGTTATGCCTTCATATTACACCGGAACCCAGGGATCATGCCAGCCAGGCAGCTTTCAGCTTACTCCACAGAATGCATTAAATAAGGTGAGAGGAGAAACTGAGTGATTTCAGACATGGCCAAATCTAGATGCAGGTGGTAGCATGCCTTGTTTGTCTCTTGCTGCCACCAAGTGGCTAAAAGATAATTAGGACTTTTGAAAGTCTAAATGAGTATTGTGCCAACTACAAAATGTTTTGGTAAACTAGGGCAAACATGAACCTTGTGGCACCTACCAAGCCAATTCCAAAGCTTTTCTATTTACATCTTGATTAGGAAAGTCTCAGGGTAGCCCGGGCTTTGTGAAGGATCAAATCTAGATGCTGGTGGTAGCACTTGTTTGGCAAGAACTGGCTGAGATGTACCTTGTAACAAAGATGGGGAAGGGCTATGGATGTTGCTGGGTGTTGTGTACATAGTAAAGGATTTCACTTTAAGTTCCCAAACACAGGGCCGGAAACTCTGTCAGTAGGTTCCATCCAGATAGAGTTATCATAGCCCAGAGAGGAAAGAAATAGTTCAGGTGTTTGAGATAACAACTGGTTTTCAATCTCCTTTTTTCTAGTTAAAGGAGGAAAGTTCATAGATGAAGCTGATGTTAGACAGCTTGCTCCCAAGCTTGTATTAATGCCACATTCCATAGAAGGCAGTCAGAGACCATTCCTTTGGCATGGACTAAACAAATATACAGTGTGCCTGGGCATCCAGAGACTTGTCTGAATCCTGGCATTAGATGATTGATTAACCTGTTGCCTGAAATAAAGAAAGCTCTTTATTTCCACACCCAAGCCCTCACTACATTTTTTACAGCATCTGTAAAGCACATTTCAGAGCTGAATTTCAAAGAGACCACATCCTGAGATGTGTGTGTATAAAAATAAAATAATTAAAGAAATCAGGATGGACTGGGATATTAGCACTTAGTGGCAATGATTAGAACTTCTAGACTAAATAGCTAATGCCATTCGGGCGTAGTATAAAACACCTCAGCTTGGAACTCTTTATAACCACAAATGGTACTGTTTTCTCTGATCACTTAGTTTGGGTTGTCACTTACTTTCTTCTTTTGCACAGGTGGCACCAGTAAGAAGTGAAAAGCGAAGTTCCTCACACCTCATTTCTTCCCCAGAAGCTGGCCCAGTTGAATATATTGGCCAGCACACTCAGGGCACAGCATCAAATTATGCAGAATCCTATCTTAAAAAAAAGCGTGTTTATTGAGATCCAATCAACCAATCCTGCCTTAAAGCCAACAGGTGACCTTTTTGTACCTCTGTATTTATTACTGCCTTAACTTCATACCCATCCATCTTTATATAGGGTGACACATTCCTAAAAGGAACAATTCAGGCAAATTTTCCAAATAAATTATATGTAGCAATAAAGACAACTAGTTGGACATTTTTCATTCATTATTTGCCTTGTTAAATAATATAATACAATGGTGTCTCTCATAATACATGATCTTACTGTAACTTGTCAGAATTGACAATGATTGTCTTATGCCTGCAAAGAAGTTTCCTTTGGTGATTGTTGATCATGTCAGTCAAAAGCAATGAAAATAGTAGTAAAGGAGACTTTTCCCTTGTTCCTTAGATGAGGAAGGTGAGATTGTCTTAGTCATAATTTTTAAAAAAAATCTTGAGTGTGCTTTTCAGTTTTACCTTTTCCAGAGTTGAGCCTTCTGCACTTAGTCTTTATATTTTTAAAAATCTTCCCCAAAACATTGGAGACACCAGGTGTATTAACAGAGCCCATGAGTTTTTCAGTAAACATTTTGTTAAAAATAAGTTTGTTATATTGTGAGCCTACCAGCATCAATCTAGAGTACAGAGGCGCTAGTTAGAACAAAGGTGTAATCTTAGCTATTGATATTCTGTCCCAAGAGGTGGTTGTCATTTTTATATGCAATTGTTTGTGAATGAATTTTTCTGCCCTAATCTGCTTCTGAAATCTGTGTAAAATACTAGGTCTTGCTAACCACTGGATTTGAACTGGTGTGAGAGAGTCTCCCAAAAACTAAAATCTAAAAGCTACCCTCCACTTAGTAATGAAAATTCAATGCGCAGGAACAGTAAAACTAACCAAAATAATTGCAACCACTTTGTAAGCGGATCAGTATAAAAGTTGCTCAAAAAGAAGCTAAAAATTTAACAGCCAATTTTGTTTTCTCTAATTTCTGGGTTGTTCAGACAGTAGAGGAGTAAATGCTGCCCAAGCCCACTACACCTGTCCTAGTTTGGTTTTGTTAATCCCACTTTCCTGTTTTTTACCTTCACTCTACTCTGTCTCCAGGTGTCAAACTTACTTTTACAATTTGCTTCAGCTATCCCCACTGGTCATTTGGGACCCAAAGTTCTGAATGCCCCCGATTCCCATGGACTTCAGGGTTAGGCCTTTATGATGTGTTCTTTTTGCATCAAATAGTCCTCTTTAGACAGGACTAATCTCTACTCACTCAGCTCTCACTGGCATTTATGAGTATGGTGCATATGATACAGCATAGAGACAGCTGGGTTTATTATTTACACCTACGTTTATATTTTTATATATATATATTCCATCCCTTTTGAACCCCTCCCTTCAAAAGATTTTCATTGTAGACTCCTTCTCTCACCATGAACTTTTCCCACTTCCTTGTTCCTGCTACCCCCCATTCTCTTGCCCTTTTTTTTTTTTTTTTTTTTTTTTTTTCCCCCCCTCTTTCTCTTTTTTTTTTTTTTTTTTTTTTATATACAGAGGGTCATTTTCTCCAAGGAATTACCTCTCTTGCAGTATGATAACTAGTACTGTACTCAGTCTCCACCAGCCAGAACTGGAATAGTCTTTTGCCTTTGCCTAGTGCTTTTCTTTCTCCCTGACTTGTGCACTGGGCTGAGAGGTCCATTCAGCAACTTTCAAAACTTTTTTTTTCTCTCTCTGACTGGTTTTTTTATCTTAAATTTGATTTACCAGCTCCAAGTCCTATCACCAAATCACCTTAAATCAAATGTTATTTTTTGCCTACAATTTTTGTATCTGCAGTGGTGGAAATCCATGTTTTCATTACTAATATTCATATAAGTTAAATTATGAATAAGACACTTGCCAACTGACCATGTGAATTAACTTTCTTGTAATCCCTTTGCAACTCAATGTTTCCATCTTTGACTAAATTGCAATAATAATGGAATTGATGTTCGTAGTGCTCCCACCATGTAATGGCTGTAAATTTAATTTAATCTCTTTATTCCAAGGTTATCTTTTAAGCCATGTTTAAAGTTTACTGATTTTAAAAAAAAAGTCTTGAATAAACTCAAAGTTTTTTGCAGTAGCTCAGAGTCAGGACTTTTTTAGCAAACACAGTTGCTGTGTTATGTAAATGCTCTGCACGCCTGCCTTAAGACAGCAGAATAGCAATGCATTTGATTGGTTTTGTTAGATTATACATGTATGTATTGATTGGTGTTGAAAATTCACCTGTAGTATTTTGTTTAAACTATTGTATCTGCAACTTTTTAGAACTGTTACCCTTTTCAACAAAATAAATTACTGCTCCATTTACAGTGGAATTTGTGTGAAAGCACAAAATCTCCAGCCTACTCTATCATTTTACACCAGGGTGCTATAGCAAAATTTCAAATTTATCTTCCCTAAAAAAGTAACAGCTTTGCACAATGTAATTTATAATTAACACACACACACACACACACACACACGAAGAAAAAAAATCTTTATTAATTTGTATAAAGAGTAACAAAGTGCATATAGATTCTACTCAGGTTCATAAGTGAAGTACAGAAATAAAAAATAATACTGTAAAAATGAATCCTACCAGTTTGGGGTTCAGTAATTACATTTATACTTTAATATGTAAAAACATTTTTCAGTTATTACTGCCACTCAGTGTGCCCTCTAAGCATTTTCAGAATCCAGGTTTGGGGGAGACAATATTGCCTAAATTCTAGGGAGAGGATTAGCAAAAGGTTGCCAGTTTGCATAATCTACCATCAATAAAAGCTTGCCAAAGTCACATTATATGACTTCCGTGTCCTTGATTCAACTGCAAAATCTGTTTATGGTCATAGAACTCAAGCAGACCCAGTCTGGCCCCACTGGTTAATTGTATAATTTGGCAGTCTGCATACCAAATTGGGGTCCAAAAGCTGTTTCTAATGCAATAAGTGAATAATCTAAATACTCATTTAATTTTTGTTCCTCATGTTTTTTTAAACAGGTGTTAATAAATGCAATGGCGTGCAGGACAGAAAAATGTCCGGCCCAAAAAAACATGGCTTCCAGGAAAATCCTCATTGTGATTGAGTTTATAGGATGCAATAAAAATGGGGAAAGTATTTAGCTTGGGGGTTTTTTTTTGTTTTGTTTTTAAAAAAGCTGTAATAAGAAACTGGGTTTCTGCAGTGAAATGCAAACTCATAAAAGTTGTAAACAGCAACAAAGAGTCCTGTGGCACCTTACAGACTAACAGATGTATTGGAGCATAAGCTTTCGTGGGTGAATACCCACTTCGTCAAGGTTATGCTCCAATACATCTATTAGTCTATAAGGTGCCACAGGACTCTTTGTTGCTGTTTACAGATCCAGACTAACACGGCTACCCCTCTGATTCATAAAAGTTGGTAAATGCTTTTTTGGGAATATTTACATTTATAGGTTTTATTTTTTGAATATAAAAGCTCAGGACTTCAAATTGCAGGTTAAAGCTTTTTGGTTAGATAACCCTGATTGATACAGTATCTGAACTGAATGTTATGTGCCCAAAATATTTTTGAAATGCAGATGCATTGAAAGATGACCTTTTTTGCCCACTTTTTTTTTTTTTTTTTTATTTTACCACTTTCCTAAAAATTATTTGAAAAGCAATTAAATTGCTATGGAAAGTTCTGCTCAATCTTCTGAGTTAGTTATTCAAGAAAATCATTCTAGCTGCAGAACACTTGTTTAATGTGCTTTATCTGTTGACGTGCAATGTGACTTGGGACCATCATAAATTCCCTTGCTTGACACAGTTCTTTCCAATTTGTGTTAGTTCAGTATAATCTAAATGCTGGACCGGTTGATCAATGAACAAGCCTTTTTTAATAAGTAATACCCTACCAAGGGCAGAGTGCTTAAAGATTTTCTGCTAGGGAATTTAAATATTTTGATCCAAGTGTTCATTACACCAAAAAAGGGAAACCAGTGGAAAAAGAAACCCTTAAACACGTATTAGCATAGCCAGAGTACAAATTACAGTAGTTAAAATAAAAGAACCTGGCCATTTATATTTAACATACATTTAAAGCACTGACAATACAAAAATGTTAATTATAATTTATTTATAAGTGCTTCAAATCCTTGAATAAGATTTTGAAAGGTCGTCCGGTCACCTGGATTATATATCCAACATTTCCTCATCAGTTGGTCCACCTAGGAATGAGAAAAAAAAATTTAAAGGGTGAATAGTAGACTGTTCATTTTCTCAATAAAGACCAGCTGATGTAAACAGGAGTAGCTCCACTAAAGCCAACAGAGCCATGCGGATTTACACTAGCTGATGATCTGAGCTGAAGTGAGCTTCCGTTACATTTTAAAATCAAAGGTTGGCCATCTGGGTTGAGAAGTGGTGTCAGGTATATCAGCTATGAGAACAGATAGAAACAACTACACCCCCTTGATTCAGGGCTACTTATAGCATTGCAGGCCATATGCTGTACAGAACAAGTGAGCCGTAAAGTATTAGAGTTAACATCAGCTTAGTGAATGTCATCACAGGTGCTGCTAGTGGCTGGGGACTAGTGACTAAAAGCCTGATCCACCTCCCACTAAAATCAATAGGAAGCATCCAAACGACTTCAGTGGGAGTTGGCTCAGGTACTAAGCGCCAGCTCCTGAAACGGAAAAGGAGCTGTCCTTTAGCACAAGGGGTAGAGGCCTTTGGTTATGGTATCGATGGTCCCACTTTGACCCACTGGCGTGAATGGCGTGTCTGTATGAACACAGCCTCTGTGTAGTACATGCACCAGCTCTATACTTCAGAAATCAAAGGACTATATAATGAATTATATGGGACTCAGACCTTAGAGGTTTTTGCTTCCGGGGAGGTGTCAGACTTTGGAATCTCATTAGGAACATTTTTTTTTAACATAACACTTCAGAAAGCTTGAGAAGAAAAGTTTGCTTGTATACATTTGGCTATCAATCTAGTTTATACCTCTTCTGGGGAGTTTTGTGGCCGGGGCAAGCGTTTTCCTTCTGCTAATACACGTACAAGCCGCGTTACCGTCATCTGGCCTTGAGTTGGGCCAATCATTTTCAAAAACTCCTGTAACAAGTAAAAGTCACATGGATCATTTATTTATAATTCTTGCCAAATGAATCCGTAACAGTTAAACTTGACATGAGAAATACTTAATCTCA